GCCGTTTTTAACACTCGATTACTTTAAATGCCATCGCCTCCTCCTCGACGCCCTTCGCATTTGACTTTGCCTGTCAATATTTGTTTTTGGCTTAACTAGCACACATTCATCCATACATACATACTGCACCTCCACAGCCACCCACAAAAGAGTCCCCTCCCCACATCAGCATTTTCCTACTGAGTTTTCAGACCGCTGTGTGTGTGTGTGTTTGCCCAGCTCCTTCATCCTTCTAGTTCCCCAACTTATGTAATGAGTATTTGGTTACACAAATCTTTGAGCTGACCCTTCCACGATTTTGGCCAGTTCGCTGTTATTGAATGAACGCTTAAATTACTAAGCAAATGACTCATTTATCAACTGCAGTGAACGTACTCCGGGATTAGCATGGCCTGTCAGCAGTCCTCCGAGGGAAGATTTCATTAAAAATGATTTAAAGGACGACTGAGCTGCTGGACTGCCGCCTGCCAATGGGAAACACATAAATTAAAATGTTTGGCATCCGGCAATGATTGCCAATGGGATGCACTGCATCCAAATGGACAGCGGTTGACATTTGAATGGTGGAGGAGGGATGAATTTTACGCTTTTGCTGTCGATTAACTCATTGGCAGTTGGGTAATGTTGTTAGACAGAGCTGATTTTCGAAAAATTTCATTTTCAAGATGGACTTTTTCATAAATTCTTAGCAGGGATATTTTAAGTCTGCCATTGGATTGAAAGTTTGGAAATGTTCTAAAATACCTACAAAATGTCTGCCACAATTAACGAACTGATTTAGAAATACAAAACTCTACACTAAGAAAATCAGATTTTATTTTATTTAATCCTGTTTTTTTCTTCCTTCTCTTGAATGAACTTATCAACTACTGAGTTAAAGAATCAATATTAATATTATGTTATTTTCGTTTTATATATATCGATGAACACTTTTTTCTTTATTTTGCATTCTAACAGAAAATCTTTAATTTTTTTATGTGAATTGCAAAGCAATACCTACGCACCTTAAAAGTAATAACTATAGTTAGTATTTTCTAGATTCAAAACGCAGGTGGTAGTTAAGCAAACATTCGTTTAATGTTGTGATGGCTTTTGATGTGTGGCAGATAAATAAAACAAATCAAGGGAATCCCGCTCGCCTATATCCTGCGAATATTCCAGTCAGATTTATGAATGTTTGCGTTACGAGTTTAATGTCACTTGATTTACATTAGTTTGTGCAGCGGAAAAAATTGAATTTGTCGCGCTTTGTTCGGAAAATTAAACAAAAAAACAGGATAAAAAAACGAAAACGTGCCCAAGGAGCAGACGCAATATGCAAATAATCTGAAAATTTATAGGCTTTCCTTGGACTACTCCTTGCGCAGGATACAGCTGCGGCCCGGCATTAAGTCCCATCCTGAGTGGCATGCGGCTAAGCCAGGTTATTATCTTTTATGAACTGAACTTCCTTTGATTGGTGTTGCTGAGATCCTGTTGTGGGGATGGAATGATTGATGCATGTGCAGAGATGTCACACGGAACAACATGAGCCCGAAAAACTTGACATTTCTCATATAAAAAAAGCAACGAAAAAAGTGGAATATTTGTATAAAAATCAAAGAGAAGGGAAATCCAACTCCGCAGCGGGTTCTAGGCTTACATGCATGCTCGGCGGGAAAATCCATTAAAACACTTGAGCCTGGCAGACGCGTCGCAATGTGCTCTCCAAACAAGGAAAACCAGAATGCATTTCCGTTAATAGTGAAGGCGGCTTTGAAGGCTGGCAGCCACACTTAGACGCAGCACTTGTGGTTACCCTTAAACCTTCAGGACTTCCATCCCCTGAACCCTCCCCCTCTCTCGAAAGACATAAAATGTTATTGATATTGCAATTTTTAGCATTTTGTAATTGAGGCAAAAGTTGGTGCCTATCGCAGGCACATCAATTGTCTGCCAGATAGCAGCCCGAGCGGATAACTGTCTAAATGACTCTTGAGCATGTGTTTAAACATGCCAAGCACTTGGCTCACTCGAACTATGCAACAAGCAGGAGCAGCAGCAGGAACAGTTGCAGCAGCAATAGCAAGTAGCAACACAAGGAGCCCTGTGGCAACCCCAACAGTAAGGCAGCAACATCATCACCATCACCATCACAGGCACCAGCACCACTGCCACACGGGTTGACACTCGCCGGCATCAAAGTTCATGGATGTCCTGGCGGTTGGGGGAGACATCCTGTCGATGCGCTGATAAGTCCTTCCCTTCCATGTGGGCAACCCTATCCCTAACCCAAGAACGCATCTTGTCTCGTCTCGAGAACGAAGGCGAGTGCCAATGTTGTTGGGTAAACTCATAATTGGAATTAATTATGCATTCGCACTTTGCGGCCAACTTTTCAAGTGGCTGGAGTGGTTAGCTGGAGTCAGTTAGCTGCTCCGAGACTGAGTGTGTGTGGGCTGCTCCTTTAATTGTCCAAGTGAACAGGAGATCCGGAAACTTGCGGCTGACGGCAAGGGTTAAGTGCAAATTGCAGTTATCGTAAGTATTTCTTAGCCATAGTTTAGACTAAACCATGTCCTTGGGTAAAAGGATGCTTCAAAATCCAAAAACGCGTTAATCTTAAAAAGAAACTTTAAGGATAAAAAAGAAAATTATTAAAATATTATGGAGATTGTTTTCATTTTCAGTCCCTTATTTTTCCCTTTAGAAAGCAAAACAGATCTTTTAATATTCCGTTTAAACCAAACTCACCCGTTCATCCCATAATATATGTTCCAAATTAAGTCCAGAATGACACTCTAACAATAGACCTCACCTGGACCTGGTTTGCATTTGAAAGGCAAGCAACTGCGTTGGAACATCCCCATTTAGCCAATTCTCGGCTGGCAGCCATTCTAATTTAAGTTAGCCCATTTATCTTATGGCTTTCCTCTTTGTGCGCACTTTTTCTGTTTGCCACACACCCACCCCGCCTACAATCTCCAAGCCTTAAGCAGTCCAATTTGTTGCTCCTTTATGGCTACTTATATTCCATGTCCTTCCCACACCTGAGTCCAATAATTACTGTGTGCGCTCACTTTGGCATTGTCCCGGCCAGTTTGCATTGCGGATTTGGCCTTTTCTTGTATGCCCATTTGTGGCAAACTAAATGCATAAAAAGGCCTGATGTCCAAGATGTTGTGAATTAATTAAAATTTGACAGCTAATAAAACGCAATCACAGCCATGAGCGAGCCTTCGCACAATGGCCATTTGAGTTGCGAATTGCGGACAATTGCACGCCTCATTTCGCCTGTTTGCCTGTTCGCCTGTTTTGACAAGCCATCGGAATCGGATCACAAAAGACGGCGACAGGGACCCGCAGAAAAATGACAAAAGGCTGTCGCAAATCACAAGTCCTGCAAACGCATCTCGCGGCTGAGATGCACTGGAAAAAATAGGAAGGACATCCTGGATTTCCTGAAAGAACTTAAAGTACAACTGGAATAGTATTGGATGAAAACTTATACAATTATTAAATGCTGATAGTCTTTAAATAGAAAAATCAAACTTAAATATATTATTAAGGATTTTAAAACAATGTTTTCATATCATATATGTTGAAATAAAGGCATATTTTTCCCATATTTACTTCATTAACTTCCACTATGCTTAAAGACATTTTCCTTCGTGTGTCCAAAGTCGAACAATGGCGGGCAGCAAACGGCCGGAAACGTTCCGACATGAAGGGGGGCTTTCTGGGCCCGGTCGCGTGTCATGAGCAAACAAGATAATGTTACAGCAGTCATCGCAGATCGGGCGCGGTAAGAGGTCCAAATGGGCCATGAGCACTGTGCGGACACCCGGATGGAATTCGGTTTTGGCATTTTGTTTTTTCTGCCCCAACTCTCCCGGCGATTTGTACGAGAAATGCAAATGAAAACGTCTCAGCTTACGCCAAGTTCTCATCCCACAAGTCTCTGAGTGTGCAAGTGGTTGTGGATGTGGACAAGGATATGGACTGGAAACCGAAACTGAGACGGAGATGGAGAGCTGAAGCTTAATGAAAACGCTGCCATGGGCCACAGGCTGCCAAGTGGCTGGTGTCCTGAGCTGGTCTCCGTAGGCTGGGAAATGATTGATCGCCGGGCATCAATTTCCCAGAAATGTTATTGCCATGCATTCGACAGTTGGTCGATTGCTGGTCACCAAAGTGCTTTAATTATGCCTTAAAGATTTGCCTTTACACGGGTTAAGTTACTTCATGACATATTACATCGTCACATGGTGTAAGAGTGATCTTTTTATATAAATAATGTTATTAAAAAGAATGGATTAATTCTGAAATTACTTCGAAATCCTAGTAACAGGTGAATTATATTTAACAGTTTCTAGTTAACACTAGCTATTAGCTAACATTTTTTTTTGGCTCATTATTTTCTCTGAAAGGGCAACCGATCTTCGGCCAATAAATTGTTTGAAACTTTAGCGTTTTCATTTATGAAAATGCCTGAAACATGTTTCGCTTGTGCAAACAGAATGCGAGTATGCAATAAAATTCCATTACAGCGATGGCACGACTTAAAAACTTGGCCGAAAAAAGAAGGCAAGGCGAAATTTCGTTGCATAAGCCGGAGTAGTAGAGTGGCAGGAGGAGCAAAGCAAGACCAGGAGGTAGAGCAGGAAAAGTAGGAGGAGCACCCTGCAAGTGTATTAAAAGCCCCCAGACATTTTCCCTTTACGTGAGTGCATCGCATGAGCTTTCCCATGTTTGTGGGTGTGCATGTGTGTGTGTGTATGTGCAGAAGTCCTTGCATATTTTATGAAACTTGGCAAAGCATTTAACAACACAGGCACACCCACAGACAGAGGCAAACTCATTACTTGAATTTATTTAGCACTTAAACCAAATGTTTCATTCGCCTCAGCCGGCTGATTTGGTGCTCATATCCGTACATTTCCGGAGTTGGATTCGCCACTAGGTGGCTGCAAGAGCTCAGCCCGCTGGCAAACTTCTTGTATTCCGTTTAAGGATCAAAACTTTCCGGTTTTCTTTAGAATCCCGCGGGGCGAGCAAAATACCGGACACTCTGGGGCACTCCCCTCACGTATGGTATCCTTAATCCGCTTTATGAGCTTAGCCTTCCGCGTTTTCAATGGTGACTGGGAGCAAGGATACTTTTTCTCATGGACATAGCCACAGCGAGTACATAGATCTGCAAGGGTATTGATTAGGATAGGGTTTTTGGCACAGGCTTCAATAGATCCGAGGGATAAGACCTCGCCGCTAGATGATGGCGAAATGATGAATGATCGAGTTTGTGCCGGCACTGGCACTTCGACCCCACATCTGGGACACTTTTTAAGGACCATTGAATCCCCAATTTCCTTCTCCACACTCTCGCATTCCGAACACTCCGAACATATTTTCTGCAGGCGACAAGTCTTCCTTGGTGAGTAGTAAAGCTGCTCGACGGGTCTGATGTTTCGACGTTTCTTCGCAGTAAAAGAGGTGGACTTCTCCACAGGACGTCTAAACTGTTGGGTGGAGTACATTTTCTGCAGCTTTCCCTCCATCTTTTTGTAGTCCACCTCCGCTATTTTCCTCTTTTTTTCGATTGCCTGTAAATTTAATCAAGTTTTGTATATCATAACTCATTAATATATACCTAAGACCTACCAAAAACATCATATGATGCTCCAGCATCATGCTCCTGATGTTATCTAAAGAGTATCTCCTCTCGATATCGAACATATTCTGCTCTGCAATGAGCTCTAAGTCGTCGATGCTATTAAGGCTGAAGGAGGATTCAAGTCCTCGTAAGCCAAATGAAAAGAGTGGTGTGCTCTGACGATGCCTGCTCTTAAAGCCCCCCTCGAACAGGCTGTCCACTTGGCTGATCTGTTTAGTCTTTGAAGTATCGGTATTTGTCAATGAATCTCTGGGTAGCTCTATACGGGCGAAGTGCATGTCGGACACAATGACCTTGAGATAGTCCAAATACTTAGCGGTTAGGATTTGCTTAGCTTCCTCTTGACTGAAGCCCGATTCCAAGAGTTCCAGATGCAGAGCCCCAAGATTGGCCCACATTGGATGACTGCCCACTGCCTGCATAAGTCCCTTGATATCAGCCACGTACTCAAGGATATGATTATGTTCTATGACATCCTTTAGGAACATCTGCAACGGTTCGTATTTACTATCTGACACCAGGTCTTTTATTTCGAATCTAGCCCCCTCGAAATCACCCAAGTAACGGTCGTCCGGAGTCATGAGTCCATGATCAAGATTTCCTGGCAAAGCCTCATAGTTCAATTCGAATGGCTGGCTTAATTTACCTTTTTCGTTTGCTGTGATATTTCGATGACTAAATTGATCAACAATACGAATATGCGATTGATTCTGCGGATTAAAAGTAAGCGGTATGTCAGCTTTCTTGCCCGGAACGTTTTTGGTTTCACTAGTTTCAGTCTTTTCTTGGACAACAACTTTGCTGCTCCGGGCCTTTGGCTTCGATAGGTAGCTTTCTGAAAGATACTTTATTGTCGACTTCCGAGTGACCACCCCTGGATCGCTGGTCACCTTATGGAGTGTCTTTGATACCGATTCGCTCTTTGGAAGGAAGAATGGATCCTTTTTTAAGGACTTATAGTGACTTTCTACCTGAACTTTTGGTGGAGTGCTGGGAAGCTTTTTGGGCACCATCAATGGCATGCGAATTAATCTTCGGACACTTCTCCGTGGTTGATTGGCCATAATAATTTTATTCACTGAGTCACTGAACGATATAACGCTATCCTTTTCCAAAGCTATTTGAGAACCGCTCTCCGGCCTAAATTTGCGACGACGTTTTAGTTTTCTCTGCATAAAGATTGTTCTGTCATCTGAATGAGTGGATGTTGGAACACCCTTTTTCGTTTTACTCACCATACGATCTTTGCCTAATTGTGAGTTATCAAAGAAATCTATGTCGGTTTCGCTCTTTACTTGTCCTAGTTTATGTCGCTTATTAAGATTACCTCCCGTGTTGTTTTTCCTAGAACTTAATTGAGGATCGCTCTGTACAGTTCGTAGTTTTGGATGCTTTCTAAGGTTTTCATTTAAAAGAGCTTTTCCGGATTCTGTATGGCGAGATTCAATGAAAAACTCTCCGGAGGTGAAAGAGTTACTTGAATCACTATGATAGCCTCTGCGATGGTGACGACCCTTCTTTTTCCTATACTTTTGGTGTCTCATGAACGTGGAAAGGTGATTAAACAACAGAGAGACAGTCTTCTTTTTATCATTTAAAAGTTTTTTTAGTTCAGCTCTAATAACCATATCTACATTAGATGCTTTATGCTTTACAAACTTCCTTTTATGTTTTATTGCCTTTTTTGACACCAAAGATTTAATTATTTTCGGTTCTGGTACATTGGAATAATCAATTAATTTCTCTTTAAATTTCTTTAATTTTCTGTGCCTTTTACGATTTTCTGGTTTTTTTGCCTTTGAAAGGAGTGAAAGGGCGGATAGATTTTGTATTTCCATCTTATTCTGAGTGAGCTCTCTTTTGGGAGTTTTTCTAGTAATTTTAGGCTTCCTTATAATTGGTTTTTTATCCTTTCCCGAATCGAATTTTATAAGTTCTCTTACCAATGCCTGTAGTTCGTCTAAGGACGGCTTCAAGGGCTCGGTTACCCCTCGCTTTGGTACAGTCTTCTTTAGTTTCTTCTGTTTTTTGTTTACAATAAGTTCATCTAAACGCAGATATATAGTTCTGGGCTTGGATTTCTTCTTTATCCCTCTTTGTTTAACAACTTTTTCGGGCTTAAGTCCCAAATTCAATTCAACTTTTGGTTGTTCGATGGCTAATGTTTTCCTTACTTTGTTGCCCCTTCGCAGCACCTCATTGTTCCAGAAACTAGCGAAGTTTTCTATGTCATCAGCCTGGGTAAGACTGCGAGGACGTAGCTTTCGAGGCTTTCTGCCTCGTATAGCTAGTAAATATTTCCTTACCTCCTCGGCCTCTACCTCCAAGATTTGGTCTTGACCTTCGACTAATTTATGGTAACCCGAACTGTGTTGCCACTTTTTCACCGCCTTGGAAAGCCGATAGAAACACATGTCCACCAGTTTTTCGGGATGACGGCGTTTCCTTAGCTGCTTCCTCAAGCGATGTAGCCTGCGTTGGAGTCTCCCTTTCACCTGTTCCTGCTGCCGCAAAAGCCGATTTTGTAGTCTCAAAGCTTTTGACCAGTTTCGTAGCCAGCGCCTATAGGTGGCCAGCATTCCGCCCACTGCCCTTTGTGCCTGCTCCCTCCGCTGGTGCTCCGCATCCTGCTGCCGCACATCTATGGAGTTCCGCATCTTATGGAGCAAGTGGTCTCTTATCCTGCTCATCAACTCAAGGCGGCGATGGGCACGACGCTTACGAATCCGCAACTCCTTGGCTTTGCGACGGATCTGCCTCCTGAGCAACACCATCTGGGTACTCCGGTGCAAAAGTGGCACTTGCATCTCTCACAGATTGAATTTTTTACTTTTCTTAAAGGTTTTTATTAACTAACACGGATTTCTGATTTGTGTAAAAACTGTTTTCCAGTGAATAGATTTTAATAATTCTAAAAGTGACATTCATATATAAAAAGGAAACTATATTGTTGTCAAAATGTTTTTTAATATGTTTTTAGTAAGGAAATCATATTTAATCTTACTCTTTTAGTAATTGTAATTCGGCTGTCAACCTTCCGAGGGTTTTTTGTTATCACACACGGAAAGCATTTTAAAAATGAGAAAAAGAAAACATTAAGATTTGTAAGCCCGGGGAAGTTGTAGCAAACAAGAATAACTTTTTTTAAAATCGAAATATATTATATATTTAAAAATATAAAACTGTAATTCTACATAAAAAAATCACGTTCGGGGCATTTGCCAGTTCGAAAATCACCGATCAGTAAAATCGAGGGGATTTTGCAGCACCTCTTATCAGGCCTTGTAAATCACCTGGTTGTATGGGCACTCTGCTGGGAGACGCTGCTCATCTCGCTGATAAGGCATCACAAAGCATATAAGTAGAACTCGGTTCTTTACAGTCAGTTCTAAGGGGAAGCACCCGCTCTGAGATCGATTGATATATAAAGAGCGATGACCAGCTTCCATCATCAACAGTCAACAGTTGGCAACTCAATCTATAAGATCGAAAATCAGCAGATCAAAATAGCAAGATGAACAAAATCATTTCCTTGATCGTGGTCACCATTGGAGTGCTTTGCGCCCTTGCTACGGCGATGCCTCAGCGTGTGAGGACCCAACCACTGATCTACTATCCTCCACCGCCAACGCCGCCAAGGATCTATAGAGCACGCCGCCAGGTTTTGGGTGGTTCACTCACCTCCAATCCGAATGGCGGAGCTGATGCCCGATTGGATCTGACCAAGGCAATAGGAACTCCCGAACACCATGTGATTGGGCAAGTCTTTGCAGCGGGTAACACCCAAACCAGACCGGCATCCTCCCCTGTTACCAGTGGAGCCACCTTGGGCTATAACAAGTGAGTCTTTAGAAGATTATGCCGTATATATATATTCATTCCAACTTATCTTCTTTTCCGTGACCAGTCATGGCCATGGCATTGAGTTAACCAAAACCCATACTCCCGGAGTTCGTGACAGTTTCCAGCAGACGGCCACCGCCAACTTGTTCGATAATGGAGTCCACAAACTGGATGCCAAGGCCTTCGCCTCGCAGAACCAGCTGGCCAATGGTTTCAAGTTCGATAGGAATGGAGCTGGCCTTGACTACTCGCACATCAGTGGTCATGGAGCAACCCTGACGCACTCCAATATTCCAGGTATTGGCAAGCAATTAGAATTGGGAGGAAGAGCCAATCTCTGGCAGTCGCAAGATCGCAACACAAGGTTAGATCTCGGTAGCAGTGCCTCCAAGTGGACTAGTGGACCGCTTAGTGGACAGACCAACCTTGGAGCCAACCTGGGACTCTCCCACTATTTTGGTTAAAAGAGTGATCCACTCGATAATATTTAAATAATTAAATTGGACTATAAATGTTAAAATATTTATTCAAACAAAATTAAAGGTTCACAACATAAAATCTGTAATACTAACTAATTTAATCGAAATGAAATTTATTAAAAATAATCAAAACCACAGGGAATAATCAAGAAAACAATTAACTAAATGAAAACTCGGTTACGAAATCTATAAATCAAAGACCCACAAATGCCTTAGCCTGCTGTTCACCCGCCTCCTTGAAAAGTTCGGCAGTCTTTAGGAGTTTTATAAATCTTGGTGAGTATTCAGTGGACATGTGTTTCTCGAGGCCCTCATCCAGACTTGTCTGCTTGAGAACCTCCTGCAAACGGACATTCCGCTGATGCCGCTCCGCGGAGTCGGCCAGTTTTCGAAGGTAAACAAGATCCAGGAGCAATTCATCACGTACTCCGGCTGCCGCCTGTTGATCCTCCATCGGAAGACCTTCATACTGGCGAAGGAGCTTTTTGACGATCCGTGACTTTTGGTTGATTTTACTAGGGTCAAGCAGGCGCACATCCTGGCTAAAATCCTCGGCCAGAACTTGAAGGGAACTCTGTCTTTTCTCGCGACATTTCTGCTCCTCATTCGACGTCTTGATAATCAGATCATAGAACTCCTGGAGATCTGGACGTAGTGGAATGCAGGCTCGTCTACGTACCTGCTGATCGATAATATCACTAATGGCCTCCATTGTGTCCCGGACCATGCCCTCTGTCTGTTGAAGATAATTCTCGTTTTTGTCGTTCCTAATTTGGTAGAAGTTCTTGGGCTGCCTCTGGGCACACTTGCGATTCCTCTCCAGAACAGCCAACAGCCGATCCAAGCTCGGGTCATTTCCAACAGCCTCGAAGACAGCAGAAACTATATCTTCGGAAATCTTACCCGTGATTAGCTTGTCATAGCTATCTGATTGAGAATCAGGTATATCTATCCGTGGTCTTGGGAACACCTTTGGTGCTTCATTGGAAGCTGCATTCGGATCTACTTTCGGATGTACCTCTGGATTTACTTTAATGGGTTGAGCCTTATTTGACTGCTTCATTCCGCTCCATCTTATGGTAGGCCTTTTCAAGTGCCCCTCCTGCTTTCCTGGCTTTTCATTACTTTGTTTTTCTTTCCATTTACCATCATGATTATCTTTAGACTCCTCCCCCACTTCGCGAATGCATCTTTCTTCCTTTGCCCCAGGATGATCTTGAATACACTTCAATTGCGCAATATTATCATGAAGTTTGACATCCCGAAGATCGGAATTAGAAGCAGGATGCAACCTATTAAAAGCAGGCATCAAACTAATAGATCCATTACCGTAAAATTGTTTGGTCTTTGGGTCCCCACAGACATTGGCATTTATGGAAACATTAAGTTTCATGGCATCCGGACTGTTACAAACATTCTCCGTAAGACTAGGCTGGTCGGCAGCTGGGGGTTGCGTGGGCGCAGCGGTATTCTGAGGCTGAGTTGTACAATTCGGTGGCAAGGTTACACTCGGAGGACCTGGGGTAATGGACACACATCTGGGGTCAAGTGTGGTCGATGTTCCCATTGCCGCCAAAAAAGGATCGGTCTTTAGTTGCTTGTTGAAAAAGGGTCCAAAATATCGGTGGACTCCAAAGGATTTTATGGGTGCCGAAACAGGCTTCAGAGGCAACTGTGGGCTAGTTCGTTCGATGGGCAATTGGTTCGGTAGCTGCAACGTGTGTTGCAATGGTTGCTGTTGCGGAATGTAACGCTGTTGTGGTGTCTTCATATTCTGCAGCTTTTGTAACTCATTAAAGAAGTGAGTCAAATTAAAACTGGCCTGAAAATTAGACGATTGATGACGTTGACGGTTTAGATCTTGTTGCAGCTGTTGCTGCTGCTGTTGCGATAGCTGTTGCGATTGCTGTTGCGGCTGCTGTTCCTGCTGTGGCGATGGTGTTTGCTGTTGCTGCTGTTGCTGTTGCTGAGGCGGCTGCTGCTGGTGCAATTGCATCTGCGTTTGTTGCTGCTGCTGATGAGGAAGCTGCATTTGCAGAGTTTGCTGGTTTTGTTGCTGTGGAAGTTGCAATTGCAGAGGTTGCTGATTTTGTTGCAGTGGAAGTTGCATCTGCATAGTTGGCTGATTTTGTTGCATCTGAAAAGGTGGTTGCTGCTGTCCCTGAAAAGGCACATTTGGCCGCTGATTCATCATGGGCACTACTTCTTTAGTTGGATCGTAGATATTTGCAAGAGAATCGCCGTCATGATTGACTTCCAGTTCATTATAGTGCACCAACGATTCATGACTTGGGTAAGTTTTTCCTCCGGAATCCTCGACATCTGCTGTGAGCATGCCATTACCCAAGTTTCCGAAACCCGCTCGATTACCATTATGATCCTCAAAATCGTCCAGGAGATGAACCAAGCGTTTGGCCACAACATGTTGCTCCTCTGACTTCTGGCCTTTTTGATGCTCCTGCAACCCATGTTTATTATCATCCAAAGATCTTTTTGATCTTTTGTTTTGCCTGCGCAATCGGCGAGTAATTGCCTGCCGTTTCCCGCGATCCTTTCCCTGGGATAATTCATTCGCCAACAACTTGACCACCGCATCAGGATTAACTTTCGGCGATGCCGCCGTCTCCTTAGCCTGCAGCTTATTAGTCTCTTCGCATTCAGCCTTTTCCTCTGCCGGTTCCTGAAGCTTCAGCTTTATGTTGACTTTGACAATGCCGTCATCTTTTTCAGCTTCCGTATCCACCTTTTCCACCTCCTCCGACTTGCACTCCGTCTCGCAATCGGAATCTTGATTGTCCGTGCTATCACGGGTTTCACGTTTCTCCAGATTATCTTGTCTTTCCGAGTTTGAAGCCACCACACTATCACCATTTGAATGCATTTCGCTACTGCTGTCCAAAAGAAGTGGCACCTCTCTTTTTGAATTCGTTTCCTTTTTTAACTTAACCTCTTTAGCTGATGCGGTATCATCTTTAAGTGTGGCCCCTTCTTTGACCGACGACATCAGGCTGTCTTTATCCTTGCTTTCACGTTTCACTGGCCCTAAAAACTTGGTCTCCACCTCTGACTTATCCTCCAACTTACCTTCTATGGGCGATAAATCAGAATCAAGTTTACTTTCTGAATTACTCAATGCATCATCTTCTAGCTTGACCTCGTCATGCAAATCCTCAAAGTTTACCTCATCATGGGTGTCCTTATCTTTGGATTCATCATCTTCGCTCGCATGTTTAGAGCTCCCATCCTTGATGTTCAGTATACCCATTTTTACAGCCATATCGTGATCGGAAATGTTTTGATCCTCATCCTTTAGGGACGATGACTTCAGTACAGGATCTTCAAGGGATGAGCTATCTAAAATAGAATCTTCTTGGGAATCCAAAGATTCTGAAGCAGGTTCCCTCTTAAAACGATCCAAGTCAAGGGGCATGCGGTTACTCCTTTCGTAATCCCGCACACCGGTCATTTGTCGCTGACTCAGAGGATGAAATCGATCGTACTGGGGCACTCGGTAGTCATAACTCTGGGGTAACTCCATCATTTGACTCGTATCCATGCCGGAATTGACAGGCTGCATGTACTCCAAGTTCTCGTTCTGTGTCATCATGTTATTAGTTCCCATTTGCTGATCCACTTCTTCGTTATCACTAGGTGACTCCATTTGTTGCTGCTGCTGTTGGTGCTCCAGCTCCCTCCTTCGCAAGATATTGTCCACCATTTGGTTGCGATGGATGTCTATTAAGGCGTTACTAGGCAAGGAGGGACCAAGACCTTTCAACATCAATCGACTGCTGGTCTTCAGCTTGATCTCATTCATGGGATTGAATCCACTACAGGAGCTGCGTTTCAGCTGTTTTACAGGCTCTTCACTGATGCTTCCAGGTCTGGAGTATTTTGTGGCCTTCTCAGAGGCCTCCTGCTCAATCTTAGAGAGCTTATAGTTTGCTTCGTGAGCCAACTTGTTTGACGTGGCATGGGGAAAGGTCAAGCGGTGAAGGGTACTTTCGTAGACCCCATCTGGAATGGGCTTATCCCCGAATTCGGGCAACTTATCCACCCAACTGGATTCGTCGGCCTTCTTACGGACGTCATTGGCCTTTTCTTGCTTCTTGGCCTCCATATTCTCCTGATCGCTCAGCATCTGCTGCACCTGCTTTAATTTGATGTCCAAATGGGTTAGCCCATGGTCTGGGGAATTGGCGGGAGTCTTAGTCACATGGTACTTTCGAACAACGGTATCATCAGCCGTATCCTTGTACTTTTGCTTTACCTTACCCACCTCGGTACGCTCCATGGCCTTGGTATGTTGGTCGATATAGTTCTTGCCGGCGGATCTTGGCTGTTTGCTTCCCGAACGCTTCTCGTTGTCATTGGTCTTGCACATGCTCGCCTGGATGTCGCGGAACCAAGCATCGGCTGCCTCCTGCAGTATTCGCTGTGCCTCCTCGGGTCCTGGCTTGGGTTCACCAACTTGGACCTGGGCAAAACTGGCCAGCATGTCGTCGATAGTATTACGTCGATCCCGTGGCTGCTTCTGATTATCCTGCCCCTGTAGGCCACCGAAAGAAGCCTTGAGCTCTTGCAACTCTGGGCGAGCCTGCTCCACTGCCCTGCTGAAGCTCACCAACTTGTCACTGCCCTCCGCTGCGGGCTTATCTCCTGCGGCCGGGGCCTCTTGAGAGGACCCATGACCACTGAACACAATCAGCGCCCACCAGAGTTGTAGGAAAATCATACTGTAAGAGGGTTGGGGTTTCTTAAAAAAAACTAAATTAAGGACAGGTCTATGAAAAACGAAGATTATGGCCTACTTGTGGCAATAACTTCCATTCCCAAGATCATATTTTAAGCAATTATCACTTACCATTTTTAGTAATATAGCTTAACAATTATTTATGATAAACCTTTTAGCTTTGCCATTTATTATTGTTAAATATATTAAATCATAAAGCCATTAAAAAGTTTATCTCCCTCATCGCTGGCCACAAACAATTCGATTTGAATTGAGTTTCGGGTCTGGAGTTGGGTCTTCCACGCGGTGGCTGGCAACAGGTGTCAGCCGCACAACTTTGACAACAAGACTCGATAAGAGTCGCAATGTCACCAGTCCCCCACCCACACCCCTATAGCCCCCATCGGAACACGCCCTCGTCTGTGCGCCCAAAGGGAACTGCTACATTGTGTCAAGTTTTTGCACACGTACGACGACTGCGCCGGCGGCTTCCGACAGCTGTTTAACATGAGATGTCCTTTGTTGCCCACTTCCACACCCACACGCACACACTATCCAGGCACTTGGGTAAATGATTCTACCGCCTCCTCATACTCACCTCCTGCATCCCGCTTCTGAGATCCCAACGGGAGTATTGTTTCCTCGCCCATGTAAATCAGATTTTTGTTTTATACCAAAACTTTTGCCAATGGAAGTGGAAATGGAAATGGAATGGGGATGCGCAGCGACAATAACATTTCCTATTTCCTTCTGTCGCTGCGATTGTGTGTGTGAGAATGTAGGTGTGTGAGTGTTATCCTGCATGTTGTCAATGCCAAAGTCAGCACAATGCGCCGCTCGAAATAATTGAAAATAATCAAACATTCAGTGGGAGCAACTGCAGCATCCAGAAGCCAGCAGCCAGCAGTCCGGAGAAACATCTACATATGAACACCAGTAGCAAACAGCACGAGGCAGAACTAATGTAATTAGCGGGCACAGAGCGCATTCGCATTTGATTAAAAGTTTTACCATCCAGCACTCAGTTGATAATCCTGCGAACAATGCAATGAAGCAGGCAATATATGAATAAACGCATTGTGTTTTGTTTAGCTTGTGAAATGATTGGGGGTGGTATATATCCTCCTTTTCTCATCGAATAATCCTGAAAAGCAAATAAACCACATTTAATAATTGTATCAAAAAAGGGAGTTATTGTTTTTCCTTTGATTGAAGAAGTTCTTTGTTTAGAAAATAAGTTGCTAACTTCATTTGGGGTCTTGGAAAAACTTCCAAATAATTTAATTTTAAAAGATGTATTGTTAAGATACTACACACATATAGTAGGATTGGCTTTCTAAACGTTTACAAAACTACATTTTGAATACAGATACTAAAAAAAAAGTAACTAAATTACGTACACGTATTATGGTATAAATAAGGGATAGAAAAGGTATGTTAAAAAATTAAATTTGTAAAATTTTCTATAAATGAGAATATTTTGAGTTCAAGGTGTAAGGAACAGACGGTTTTTATAGTCTATGGCAGATTTATAGTAATACCATCACTTTAGCTTATTACTTCAAACAGGCAGCTTTCTACATCCCCTTACATCCCTATTACATATACGTAAGAACACCCACTTGATTTTACATATAAACAAGTGAAATAATGCTCAATATTGACAAATTGCGGCAAATTCCCTCCACAGATTAGCCGATAGTTCACCGCCAAAGAATGCGTCAAGCGCTGGCCAATAAACAATATTGCGATAATTTTGCGGCATGTAATTAAATTACTTAGCCAGAGATGCAGTGACAGGAGGCAGGATGCAAAACTGGCGTGATGCAGTGGTGCGATATGGGCCGGGACAAATCCTTTCAACAGGCCCGCGAAGTACCGATGTGGCTGAGCCCGGGGACATATTTCCATAAAGCCACCGCAGCCACCGCTGTCAATATGCGGATTAACGCATCAATTACACGGACAAGGACATTTCAGAGGGGGGGATAAGGCCTGGTCATGGATATACATACATATAGATATATATTCCGTGGAAATGCCCGCGGGAGCTGCTGGCTAGCTGTTGCTTGCAGCGACAAAAATTTCATTTCGCCGGGTAATTTAATTAATTGCAGAATTTCACAATCATGCCGTGCCCGGTGCTGGTAAAAACAATTTGAATTCCGAACCAACTCTCCGGCCGTAATCGTCATAATCCCCTCTATTCTAGTCATTTGCCCGTCGCATTTATGATGTGCATGAAGTGCAAATTCAACCATTGCCCGCTTCCCGGACACTGACCAACTAAATTAATTCGATAATTGACTTCCATTGCCTCGCCCGGAACGATTGTGTCATCCCTTCCGGAACTCCGGATCTACAGTTCTTCATCTACAGAGACCGTGACCATGAACCGTCGCCTCCTCGGATGTTGCTCTGCTCGTTTACTTTTTTATGGACGGCGCACACAGAAAACATAAAAACGTCTGTTGCGTGTTGCATATGGAAAATTGCCAAAAGTCGGACCGAAAAAAAACAAAAAATGGGGAAAAAGGAAAAGGAAAATGCGAGCCCAAGGAAAGAAGTCGCAAAAGGAAATGTTGCAAAGCAGTAAAGGCCAGGCTAATGGCAATGGCATGACAGCCGGAAGAGACGGACAAGAAAACATGTTCCGCCGGCCAAGCCAAAATCAAGGAGCAAAGAAGCAAAGGAGCAAGGACCAAGGACTACGGACAGGAAGTTTTTATAGTTGTCCAAGTGCATGTGATTGCTTTATGAGCTCCAGATGAACTTGCCGGCACGTCCGCGCCCCGGCTGTCATTTAGTTAATTATAAGCAATTAGCAGCGGATGCTGCCAACTGGAATTAAATATTAAGCGCCTAAATGCATCAATTGCATATTACGGGTTACGAGCGGTACATTCAACAAAATGGTTTAACACCTGCTTTTGAAAAAGTTTATAAATGGCTTTTGGTTACACTAAAATAGGATTACAAAAACAGCTAAGAAAATGTCCAAATTAGTTTACAGAAACTCCAGAATATTCAAGAATATTTCAAGAACTTTGCCTGAAATGTAAGTTATATGACTTCTAACTAACTATACACCCCCAACTAAACGAGTAATTAAAGATCAACAATCTGGTAAATTCCGTAGAAGTTAAAGCAAGGAAAACAATCTCTTAGAGCAGGGCTCACCTGGCTGATCTCCTGGCGGAGGCGGCTGCCGGGTAATAAAATAAACCATTTTACTATTGTTGACTCATTTGAGAATTGTCTGTCTGCCTGCGTATGGGAATCGGGCAAAAGAAGGAGTGTGCAACTTGATTCCAAAGGCAACGCTAACGGTAAAGATAAAGACAAACGTAATGGTGGAAAGAAAGCAAGAGTCGGTGTCGGTGGCATTAATTTGTGCTATTTCCTAGAGCTAGGGTGGGTTTTTTTTCGGTGGGCCTCAAGGCAACGCGTAAGCAGATGAAGACAGTGTTGATGATGACGCCAGGATGCTACGGCAGAAACCAGAAACCAGGAACCCACCAACCAACAGCTACCAGCAGCAGCAGCATTTGTGGCCATGATAAAAGTTGCATGAGCTTGCATTGGGTATTTTATGCTGCTTTCCGCCGCCTGTTGCCTTGCCACTTTTACACTTTCAAAAAGTCAATTCAATATTTTGAAGTTATTTAAAATGGCGTTTTTTTTTTATACGTAATTTACTTTTGTTAAGCAATGTGTATTGTTTAAAAACGTAATAATAAATTTAACATTGGGAATTTTGAAAAATCCCCTCCATCATGTTCCTGTTTTGTTATCTGTAAAGCATTTTCCAAAGAAACAGAAAGGTGAGAAAGCTTCGGTCTTCGGCCAGTCAGACGCGTTCCCAAGTTGCAGTCAAATTTTCATTTTTCCACTCACGTATTTCGATTAAATTCTCATTTTGGTCATAATTTTCCAGTTTTTACGTTGGCTTCGGCATTAAATTGCAACTCGGCTCTCTGGGACGGATGTGCGCTCCGCCCCCTCTTTTCCATGCCACCCCCCATACTGAGTTTTCCTCCAGTTGCTTTCCTTCTTTATGTGCGTTGCGTATCGAAGGCATCAAGTTCTCTGTCGGCGAATACATTTAGAAAATTAAAAGTTTTCCAGGCTCAACCAGCTAGAATCTGCAATTGTTTGTGCGCTGTTTCTCCCTTCCATAAATCAATTTGCAGCGCGCAAGTTTTATTATGGCTGCATAAATCCGTTAACAAAGCTCCGGCCACCTGATGCCAGATTTCTATATATGTGTGTATGTACCTGCACGGCTAATTTTGCGGCACGCACACTTGGCTTATTCCCAATGAGCATTGAACGATGTCAGGATACAAATATGGTACAAAACATATCACATGCCAACACATATAAATATATATATCAGCGACAGTTGGCTTAGTCGAACAAAAAAACTAACTTTTTTCCGCGTAATAAATTGATAAATAGTCTAACGCATTTCTGGGATGTCCCAAAAGGGGCCGGGTTGGGTTATTTTCGGTTTGGGTGGGGGAGGAAGTGCATCGCTGTGCAGCTGCCAAGTATGCAACAGTTTTGCGATTGCCACTCGTTGGCAATGCTGACTGCAAAATGTGGCATACTCCTGGGCTGAGAAAGTTGAAATATGGCTTTGGATTTGGATTGGGATTATAATCGATTTGGTTTAAACTTTGTCGACTCAAGGATTCTAAGTCCCTAGAAAATCGTGCAAACAATTTTCAAATTGTAGTTTTCTTAGTTTAGATAGTGTAATGTATTTTATAAAATGAATTTGATATACAACAGGAATTACTAAATTTAAATAAAACTGTATTTAAAAAATTCTATTTAAATTTCCATAAACCTTTTTTTCTCCTTCAAGCAAAGCTAGCTTTCAATCATGATGCTTCTCCTTTGAAATGGATCTTCGTAGTCCCAACCAAAGACGGCTTCATCAAACAGCGTAGTCAATCAAAAGTAAACATTTCAAACCCACCTCCGCGACTCTTCGCAGTTTCAGCATAATTCACGCGAATTCATCCCTCTGTTGTTTTTCGATTATGTCGCATTGTCTTGGCTTAAAGTTTTTCGGGCCCAATGGCCAGCAACAACAACCAAGCAAACTGAACTGAACAGAACTGAACTGGCCAAGCAACTCGGGATGTTGCCTGGAAATATTACAGCGATTCCTACTTATGTCTCAATTCGTTTGCCTTGTCACAGCGAGTGCACAAAGGAGGAGTTAAGTTCGAGGATGGTTGGATGCTTGGATGCTTGGATGTGCCATCCGAGAGACATGACAAAGGGGGACGAAAAAAGGACACCCGGCGCATCCTTGGACCCGTGCATCACAAAACATGACATGGCACGAGCCATTCCGTTTGTTTTTTCTATTCACATTTTACAGCTGTCCAACCGTCCGTTTGCCAAACAAATTTTTCTCTGCTTTTCGCTGCGATCCCTGAGTAAAATATTATGTTACCCCAGCGCGACAAAGAAAAGCGGAAAACCTTGCTCTCGGCTAAAATAAAATAATAAAAAAAAGAGGAGGCGCACGCTAAAAACGTATTTAAATGCAATTTCTATAAACAATTTTTCGTTGCTGTTTATGCATATGCAAACAACCCGCAACATAACATACAGAACACACAACAAGCAATTCATTAAGCGAACGCGCTGGCTGCTGTGGCAAATAGAAAATTACTGACAAAACACTGTCCGACAGTTTACGAGCCGCAGACACTGAACGTCGAATGGCAGGAGCATATTTACAACTTTCAAATGCTTCATTTTATTGGTCTCGAAATGAACAAATGGCGCACAGGCCACATAGACATAGACATAGACCTCCTCTCCTGCGCTTCTCCGTTGGCTGGGCTAAAAAATTTTGCATAATTTATGTGGGGGCCTCCGCGCACACGAAAGACTCGAAGGATTCGAAAGGAAAACAACAACGCACAAGCACACGGCCAACTGATTTAAATGCAATTGCAGTGAAGTATGTTGTCGGTGGAGAAGGCAGGCTAGAGGTATAAGGGTAAAGGTTAAACCGGCGGTACATATAGAGACATCTGCACGTGCAACCAGAAACATCCGGAGACCAAGCCTTCCTCCTTCGCTGGGCAATTTCTTTTCATTTGCCAAGGTGTTGAGTTGCACCGACACCAACGTGGCAAAAGCCAACAGAAGCTAACCCCCTAACCCCACTCTGCGGCAATGGCTTGGTCACAAGTGTCGTCTATTTGTCGATGAACTAGGGGTTTGGGGTACTCCAACGGATCCCGGCCATTCTCGATATCCTCGCTATCCTCGACTGGCCAAGACAAACAACCGACAAATTTAGTGCATTTTGTGCATTTTTAAAATTGTCCAAATTTATGTGACACGCTGCGCCAATTGATCAGATTAAATAAACATGAGGGCAAACGAATCGAATTTGGCTGTGGCCAAAGACAATGACAGTCTGTATTCAAATGGTTGGCGCTTTGGTGAACGGGGGAATACAGTGACCACTGGATAAGGCAGACTCTCGGCGTCTTTCGGGAATCAATAATATAGAATTTTTGTTATATATTATATTTTTTCTCTAGTTTCAGTAAAAGTAACAGCCAAAGACGTTCATTTAAAATAATTATTTGTTGGTATGGATCATCACGTCGGATTTCTACTTATCACAAAATAAAGAGCTAGAATTTCCCAAACGAATTAATGGAAATGCCCATATATGCATCTCATACTTAAACCCAAAGTTACGAAAAAAGTTAAAAATCCATATGCAATACTGTTTCAATCGGTAGCAAATTATAAGATAATAAACACCCTCAAACTGGTAATATCAAATTTCTTGAATTACAACATTTTCTTTTGAATTTCCCTTAGCCAATATTTACTGCAGTTGTAAGTCACACAGAGAAATAGTAACACGAGACTTCTAAGAATAGGTTCTCTTGCTAAATTCAATTTTTCTATGGTCTTAGCCAAAAGTACAAAAGTTTTATTTAGCTTAATGGAACTAAACACGTGTTGTCATTCATGTCATATTCCATTACTGGTACTGGGCACTGGTTAGAAAGAACGTTTCTTTGTATAGGATAACTAAACTCGTTATTATAGCTTTTCCAAATAAACAATCATATATTCGATGGGCTAGGTAGATTGACAGATTATGTAGATGTTTAATGGTTGTCGCGGGTCAGTGGTATGGCAATCTTTTTAGAAATTCCCGATCGCACTCCCATTTCAGGTCGGATTGTGACGTTTGGGAAATTCTGGGCTATCGCTGTAAACAAGCTCACCGAGATGCTAATTTGATTGCTCGTTGCTGGCTATAAATACTGAATGCTGCTCAGTTGCATGCAGTTGAAGCTGAGCTTTAAAACTGATCACAATGAAACTGTTTGGATTAATTGCACTTGCTGTTTGTGGCGCTCTCTGTGTTGGTAAGACTTTTAAGATGCATATTATATTTAATAAAATGTATTAATTAAAATAATACTTTCAGCTGCTGAGCCGCAACAAACCTATGACGGACGAAATGGTCCCCATGTTTTTGGATCTCCTGGCAATCAGGTTTATATTAGAGGCCAAAATGAAGGCACCTACAGCGTACCTGGGGTAGGTGGTCAGTTCCAAAACTCCCCTCAACAGGGTGCGCATGTGTACACCGATGAACTGGGAAACACTTTTGTAAACCGCAAGAACGCTGGTGGTCCAGGTAAATTTCAGGATTTATATTAAACCTGCGAAGAGTTTTTAAAACGAAATATTTATATTTTAGCTTCCCACACGGTCAGTGGTCCTAGCTTTTCAGCCCAGAACTTGGGTCCCAGCCAGGGTCAACAAGGAGCTAAGCCCGTCCCACCACGTTCCCGTCGCAGCCCGCAATTTCACGTAGAGCGCCCGGATCGCACTGTTGATTATGGAGCTGGTGGATTCAACATTCAGCGGAGTCGACGTAGTCCCCAGCTCCATGTGGCACGCCCAGATCGCACTGTTACCATTGGTAATGGTGGTGTCTACGTGCAACGCTACCGACGCAGTCCGCAGTTCCATGTTGAGCGCCCAGATCGTACTGTCGATTTTGGCAATGGTGGCTTCACCGTTCAGCGTTTCCGTCGTGGCATCAACGATGCCCGCGTTCAGGGAGAGAACTTTGTGGCCCGCGACGACCAGGCTGGTATCTGGGACAACAATGTTTCTGTCTGGAAACGTCCCGATGGTCGTACAGTCACAATCGACAGGAATGGAAATGCCATTGTATCCGGTCGTGGACGTCCTGCCCAGCACGTAAGTTATCTTATTCCTTAATATAATCTCCTTATCTAATACATTTCTTTTTGCAGTACTCCTGAAATGGTTCCAAATAAATAAAACCTTAGACTTACAATATAAATAATTTTGTTTGTACTTAGATCACATGATATTTGAATACAAAAAGATGCCAAAAACTATATGCGCTAAGCGAACACAAATTTGGTGTGGTCTGCACTTGTGACTGCAAGTTCGGTTAAGATAGGAGTAGTGTTCACATAGAGTGAATATGATGAATATCTATAGAAAACAGGAGTGACCAGAGCACTGGGTGAGATTCTTGAGTCGCAACGAGTACAAAGCCCGTTCAATGGGCAGCAAGTCGTAGGCTATGTTTGTCATCTGAAAGGGATCCAGTTGCAGGTCATAGGCCTCCAAATAGTTCTGAAACAAGATCGAAATTATACATATTCCAAACAAAGTTTTAAAACCGAGTCTTACCTCATTATCCCGAAACTCGCAGTAAATGCGATCTTCCCGGTGTCGAATATTTCTCAGACAAGCGTACGTGTTGTTCCACGAATCTTGACAATGACAATCTGCTTCCGTCGTACATTGTGCCAAACGATCTTGCTGAGACCATGGACATTCGGGATTGTAGGTGCCCACAGTCCCCTCGCCCCAGTACTCAATCAGCAGGGAGCGTTCGAAAAATGGTATTTTTCGCTCTTTATTTAACAAAATCTCGTGAAATGATTGGCCATCCATGTAGTTGGGTGTGTTAATATTAGCCCAGGCCAATATCGTTGGCGCCAAGTCCACTAAGCTGACGGCAGTGTCAATATGGCTTTCAGGTGCGATTCCAGGTCCCCGGATTAGCAGTGGTATGCCAATATCCGTTTCGTAGGGCTGCCTTTTGTCGAAGGGCAGTGCGAATTGACCCACATGGTAACCATTATCTGAGGTGTAAATTATGTAGGTGTTCTCCAGGGATTGCGTCTCGTTTAGCACGCCAACCAAGGTGGCCACCAGCTCATCTACAGCCAACAGTGATTCCCAGCGCTTTTGGAAATACTTGTCTATAGTGTTAATGGTATTGTTGGACAACCGGCGGGAACCACGCACTAACCAATGCTTATCTGTGAGAGATTTTACTAGTATTATATAGATTCCCTACTGATAGTAGCTTACCCTGCTTAACTTCGTTAAAGCTGGGTGTGCGTAATGCTTCTATATGGGAGAACACACCATTGTGTCGGGGTGCAGGGGTAAAAGGCTGATGAGCTGCCGGTGGAGCCACCATGGCGAAGAAGGGTTGTCTTTCCTGGGTTCCTGTAAATTCCGTCACATTTCTTATAAAATCAACGGCACGATCTCTTAGCAGATCAGTTAGGTAAGTCGACTTGTAGTGTACATTGCCGGAATTCTCTCTCAGTGTGTAATTGTAATATTTGGAGTTTCCATGAAGTCCATTAAAGTGATTCCACCCAGTTGGGACATCCCCAACTCCCCAGAACTGATTCAGATACTTTCCGCCAAAGAAAGTATTATAACCGTTCTGTTGTAGGATGTGCGGTAGAGCCCGGTGCTCCAGGGACCTCCGCCAATGCGTTCCATAGCAGCCTCCACTTACGGAATTATTCCGGGTGCCATGATTGTGCGCATACATTCCCGTAAGCAGACTCGTCCGTGCCGGACAGCAAATGGGCGTGGGCGTAAAAGCGTTGTGGAACAAAGCGCCCCCAAAACCCAGCAGCTGAATCGTCTGTTCCATGGGAAACATTCCGCGTAGTTCCACATCCTGATCGTCAGAAAGGATCAACAGTATGTTGGGTAACATCTCACTGGCGGCATTTCCCAGACACACAAGGGTCAAGGTGATCAGTGGAGTTAAGCTGATCTACAAGTTTTATATAATTAGATAAATGAAAGATAATATTGAACGCTTATCACCATCGAGCTAACTTTCTTTTGTTTACATAAAATGTATGCAATAACAAAGCCCGGCTTGAAAACGTTAGGCTGTAAAACGATTAGATGATCTTTTAGTGTTGCAAAATGCTTAGCGGTTACAATTAGAGACAGTATGTCCAAGTAGTATGAATTTATAATTTATTACCTTTCTTTTAAAAATTATTTTACAACACTACACCAAACTTCATAAAAAACTTTGTCGTTAAATCTGAACATGGACGATTACAACATGAGTATTTAAAAATAAATAAATCGTTTATATTTCTGACGGTGCCACGTTAGTAAAATTATATTGCCGTGAAGCTGCCAGACTATTCTGAAACAGTAAATTGCAACACTAAACTTTTGTGTGTACACACTGAACACTGGTAACCAAAATGTTAAATGCGAGTTGGCGCCAACCGAAAATTCAAAAATTGATTGTTCATTTTAACAAACCGTTCTTTTACTAAAAAAAAAGTTAAATAAAGTTGTAAATAAAATTTTAATTACAACCTCGTAATAAAAAACTACAATCAAGTACGAGAAATATGATTTATTTTCTTTGAATATCATCGGTTCGGTGACCGAAAAATACAGAGTCTTAGCCGACATCAATAAGTTTGTTTTTGAAATTCACAATTATGTAATGCATATATGTAGGTACAAATGTTTACAGTTTACTTAGAGATACACTTTAAAAAAGAATGCAAGTCTGTATCCGTATCACAAAGCAGCGCCATGGACAGATACGAAAAAAAAACCGAACTTTAGCCTCTTAAATATGTGTTATGTTTCCTTTTTTTTAGTTTCGCGATCTTAAAAAATAAATAACAGCAAAGTTAGATAAACTTATATGTGTGGCTTCTAAGAAATATGTTCGGATTACTGCAAGCGTAAGACACATAGAGAATAAATGTGATGGGTTTCTGCTATTTTGGCCTACCAGAAATGTGCTCTGATTTGTTGAATTCTAAATACCAATATAGAAATCTAAATGTTGAACGTTGTTCTTAGCGGGTTTTTCCTATATACACATGTGCTCCGTTAGATCCGTAACGGCCAGCAACTTCCGGTTTAGTTTCCCTCGGGCTTTGGCAGATTTGTATCATAAGAACGTATAATGATTGACTGCGGCACAGCTCCGCCCTCCTCCTGGGAAAATGCATAGCCATCTGGGAAAGTACATCATATGAGTTACAATCTTAAATATACATTTTAGGCAAAGATGTTATGTGTGGAATCTGTAAAGTGTGGCTGTGTATTCCCAGTGTCTCATTAGGTCGCCCTCTAAAAGAGTGACATAAACCCCAAACCCCCAGGATGCGGACCTACTGCTGGAGGAATCCTACCACTAGTGGCTTCCTGGAACTGAGTACTCACGCGATAGCTCGAGATCCGTTTCGACTCTTGTGTTGGCACGACGGATAAAGACATTACGTAGCAGCCGGGCCGTTTCCGTTAATCTGTTGGGTTAATTTTTGAGCGGTTCGGATTATGATTTAGTAAAGGATTTCAAATTCGTAAGTTAGATTGGACGCTTAAAATGTTAATTTCGAGGTAGGTTTTCCATTTTGAATTGTTAGCACTTTACACAGTTCTTGCAGTTACAAGGTCAATCAAACCGAATTCTACGAAGTGTAGAGTTTCTGGGACTTTTTGCAGAGAGAGGAGCATACATATGTACGATTATAATAAAGGATCAGGATGATTAACGAGGGGTGTACAGGTGTGTACCAAATTGAAGGGGCATGCAAAATACATAATTAAATGGTTGGTAGAGCCTACATACTTTAAGGTTCACAAATAAAAGGAATATACGATGCGATTCTGAAGATAAAAATTAGAACGATTCTTTGACGCTACAAAAATCATAAGGTTCGTATCATAGTGTTGGGGTTTTACAAGTTTTAGGTCCTAACTAACCATATATATCTCCCTTTTTGAGAAAGCGGCACACCCTGTAGTAAACTAAAGTACCCTGTGAGGTGACTGGGTGATAAGTGGGTGTTGTGTGTGTGGATGTGTAGTGTTATGGGTGTGTGTGAGAGTAGTTATGATTTTTCAGCTTCATCTACGATTTACTTACACCGAATTATCGATCCCAAGGCATACATGGTACTGCGCACACACAGAGATTAACGCAGAAAACGTTCAGAGAAATTTCAAATAAACATTTTTCAAAATTTTGCTGTTGACTTTTTGACTTTTATTAAATTATATATATATATTGTTGGACGTATTTGTTGGGTGTGTTTGGGTTCTGCGAGTAGGTGTTGGGTGTGTGATTGGTTAAGTTGCTTTGTTGGGTGTGTTTGGTTGTCATCAAGTAATACAAAATAAAACATAAGTACATAACATACAACATAAGTGCAGAGCAGATCGGATCATATTCAGATCGGATTAAAACAATCAGCAGCCATAGAGATATATAGTTATATAGTCATAGTTATATACCATATATATATCATATGGCCGAATTAAGTTGCATGCGAGCTGGGGTAGACAGTGCGGGATACGAGTACATATGTATATTCAAAACTGATACATACATATCATCGGGGAAACTGGGTTATCTGGTTATCTGGTTACCATCACATTCCAATAACGTTGGGATGAGTATGTTTTTTCGGTTGGTTAATCATAGATTGTTTAGTATGATCGAACGGAACATTCGTGACTGGGTTCGTTAACTTTTCGTTTTTTGTTTTTTGATTCTTTTTACAACCTGACAAGTTTCTTAAAAATATAATTTTTACTTTGACCAACTAACATATATAGATACGATTATCAAATACGTAAAGTAACTCAGCTTGTCTTGAGAATGATAATAATACGACGGGCAAAATAACATTCCCTGATTAATGGCCTATCCTAGGTGCCTAACCACCTTGGCTACTCCTTAGACACTATCACAGTTGGCAAATAGTTTTGTTAGCACATATGGTACAGTGTGTATGATGTATAAAGAATCCGCTCTCCAAGCGCTAACATATAAATCATGGAAATATGATATGAATTCGACAGTTCTTAAGAGGTACTAGATGCGATTAAATGGGAAATAGTCCCATTTGGAATGCAAATTAAATACTATATATATAATACACACACACACTTATCTTAGATACAATTTACAACTAGAAAAATAATTCGATTTGCTTTGCCTTCGTTGCCTGGGAATTCCCCCTCACATGTGCAGAGTGGCTGTGGTGGGTGATGTGGCGCTGTTCCTGGCACTTCGGTCAGCCACAAAGGTTAGCTGCTGACCTCCTCGCCACTTTTGCCGTTGCCTGCTCCGCTGATGCTGCTCCGTGTCCACCTCTAGCTCCAGATTCTCCACCCGCAGATTCGATTGGACGCTTGAACGCGATTTCACTGAGGCGCCGCGATCACGGTCGCTAGAGAGCAGGGCATGGCTGGATCGAATTAACTTGCCGAGGGCGTAGCCGAAACCAGAGTCACTAATGCGTCGCATGGGTGCAGGGATTTTGAATGGGTTTTGAATATGGATCGATTGAATGCATGGATTTGGGATACAGGGGGATCAATCATCGTCGTCAGGAATTGATGGGGGGTATAAAGGAAGACAGAGAGATTACATTTTAGGGAGTTGTTTCAATTCATTAGATACTTGCTCATGGTGAATCGGAATCTGAATCTGAATGATGCAGGCTGTTGTTTTGTCTTAACTCAATTAAATTGTGTTTGTTTCTTTAAATGCGCCGATCTTTATTACCTCAACACAGCCAATTTGATATATAATATTCAAATTAAATTTTAATTGCATTCAAAATTGCTCTATAAGGTCTACAAAATGCGTATCACACTAGGGTCAATACATAACATTTAGTTCTAAAGTTGATGGTTTAAATCTTAATTAACATCATCTAGTTGTGCTTTGTTTATAATATGCGATTAATATGTTTACATATGAATTAACACTGTGAGTGGATAACACATGACGAGAAGAATAAGAGTGTCTAACAACTTATCATACTCTAAACTCTAAAGCTATTTACACATTTATCCGCTAATTCTATGTCAGTTTAACTTGTCTGTATTCTGTTCTTTCCTTATAAAACAGATTAACATTTATTGATTTCCATTTAGTATTTCTGAGTGTGTTTGGAGCAATTTTCGGTGGCCAATATTAAGGTAGATACTTCAGCTTTTACGCAATAAACACTAACATACATCGAAAGTTGAACAAACACAATTCGAGGAGGTGGCAGTGCGATAACGGAATGATTTTGATTTAGTATATGCATTTATGACCCAAACAAACGCTAAATAATAACTAAAGTAGGTATCGAGATATTGGTGCAAAGAACTACAAGAAGCGGGATACTAAGTGCAGGCACATATGTTGAATCAGCCTTGTTTGGGGTTTTGGTAGGATCGGGTTGCAGATAGATAGATATATATCAACGTCTTAGGGGTCTAGTTAATATTCAGCAAATGCGCAACAATTCAAATTGAAAGTATAGTTTGGATTTGTTTTTAGACAAAAACAAAAACTAAATACATATGGAAGTATGTATGTTGAGGGACCCTCCGGCCCGGAGGTAAAGCGTGACTACGGGGTCTGGAAGGCGATTGCTTCGATACTTACGAAGATCGCGGTTCGTTCATCACTTCGGAGATGTCGCTGCGTCGGATCTCGGTCTCGCGAACAGCCTCCGTTAGTGTCTTAAACACAGTATTATGTATTCTTTAATAAAAGTAAAAATAATATAAGTAAATATTTAGTAATCTATACACATATTTACTCACAGTTTACAGATCACATCGATCAGCAGCGTGGTTATGGGCACCAGTATCAAGCAGAAGTAGAATACGGGCGACGATAGCAACTGGATGTCCATGCCGCGGAAGTTGCTAGCAAACTTGAACGTTGGCCACACATGGCTATAGATCAACAGGAACATGAACCACATAGCTATCGAGCCCCAAATGGCTAGATGAGTTAGCCAAGTCCATGAATTAGTAATAAGTCCAGCCTTCAGGCAAACTGTTACAATGACATACTAGAAACGCAAAGAATTTTCATTACTAAATATAAATGGAAGAAAGCCTATAAAGATCCCCACCGTGTACACTAGATTGCCCATAAACAGATAATCACTGGTCTTGCCATCACCCCATATCGCCTCATTCGAGTAGGCCGCCAATGGCAGCCAGAAGAGAAACACGGAGTGTAGCAGGGCATTGAATATCCAGATCCAGAACACCTTCACATTGAAGAGCTTCGCGTTCTGCGATGTTTTGTAAAGCATCGGGTACCGAAGCATCGTATCTGCAGTGCAGAATTTCTCGAAGAGTCCCATGGCAAACGGGGGCATAGCCGTAAAGAGAACATTATACAGGCCGATGGTCCAGCGTTCGAAGATGATTTGACCTGACCAGCCGGAATAAATGGCAAACCATAGCTCGATCACGTACAGGCACACGTTCTTGTAGAAGCTATACAAGATCAGCTTGGATATCCGAGCATAGTTCCAAGCACCGTGGACTAACAACAAGCGTTGCAAATAACGAAACTGGGCAATAGAGTAGTCCGAGGCGCAGGCCGCCTGCAGACCTTCTACTCCAGATATACCAATACCCACATTTGCCTTCTGGATCATGGCCACGTCGTTGGCACCATCACCAATGGCCAGGGTCACCGCATTCGTACTCTGGGTAACCATCTCGACCACCTCAGCCTTCTGCATTGGGGAAACCCGACAGCAGATGACCACGCGGCATAGAAGGCACAGATCCTGGAAATCATTGCGCAGATCACAGCTAAGGGCGTACTTTAAGGTGGTTCCATCGATGACTAGTGCCACATTTGCATCCTTCGCCGATGTACTCTTAAAACCTCCATAGTGACGATGGATATCTTCGCGGGTGGCCTGGAATAATGCCCATTTTTAATAAGTGACTTATAAAATATTATTAAATTCAACCTACATCAAGACTCTCCTCATTGAGGACAATGATTTCCATTGAGTGGTTAATGAGGCGACAGGAGTAACCAATATTGATGGCGGTCTCTTGCTTGTCGCCAGTAAGAACCCAGATATAGATACCGGCATCCAGAAGGGCAGCAATCGTTTCGGGCACACCATCCTGCAGGCGATCCTCAATGGCTGTAGCGCCTAGCAGGCGGAGATTGTTTTCAATCAGATTGGCCGCATCTTCCAGTTTACTCTCCCGATTCTGCAGAGCCACCGAGGCTTTGTCGAAGGTCTGGCTCCACTCTTGGTACACATCCGGCCGAATGTCGGCCACCGCCAAGCAAAGGGTCCTCAAACCATCCGAGGCAAACTCCTCCAAATGACGCAACGTCTGTTCTCGGAAGGCTTGCCCCTGGGGAGCCAACCTCTCGTAGATGACCGTATCCGCTCCCTTGCAGAATAACTTGATCTTGTTATCCGGAGTCCGAACAATTAGTGACATGCGCTTGCGCGACGATGTGAACTCCAGTACGTTCAGCACCTCGTATCTCTTCCGTACGCCCAGTGCATTGATCTCCACGTACTTCGGGGTTCTCGTGTCGAAGATGTAGCCAAATCTCTGAGCACCTTCTACCAGCGCCCGCTCATCCGGACTAGCTGCATGGTAGATTATATCGTCGTTTTCCTTCCGCTCAGGGATCACTGTATGGCACACAGACAACAGCTCCAGGAACTCCTCGATCACGGCAGACGTCTGATGGCGACTGAGGATATTCTGCACCAGCTGTGACTCCTCCGGCGTCCGCTCTGGTGTGTAGACATATCCAGCAATGGAGCATTTCTTGAACTCCATTACGTTCTGCGTTAGAGTGCCCGTCTTGTCCGAGAATATGTACTTAACCATGCCCAGCTCCTCGTTCAGGTTCGAGGTTCGGGCCATAGCCGGTGTGTTGGATTGCTCATGATACATCTCGATGTCGTAGTTGATGAAGATGGCCTGCAGGAAACGCACTAGCTCAAGGGTCACCTGTAGTGAGATGGGGATCAGGTTGTTATAGAGGATGAAGAAGGTCAGCAGATTGTAGCCAAGGCTCTTGGTCTTGAAGTCAGTGAGGCCCAGGTACCAGTCCGTTTCCGAGTGCTCTCGCGTCCAGAACAGGTTGAACAGACCGCTGACAATGCACAGCGATATGAGGATCATGAAGAGCATGAGGATCTGGGTGTTAGTCAACTTGTCCACGGTGGAACGCTTCAGTGGCGCCGAGGTAGAGTTCTTCATTAGCTTTGTCTCTTGGCCGGAGTAAACGACTATTCCGAACACCCAAGCCGTATTCCGGAGAATGGCACCACGTTGCAGCACCTGATCATTGCCCAATGCAGCGGGTCTGAAATATAAAGAGGTTTGGGAAAATAAATATATATTTAAATATGATTTTTATTTAAAGTTAATATTAGGTTAATTTGGTTTAAGTAGTTTTATAGTTCATATATTATAGTTTATAGTTTTATTTTCAAGCCAAAACCCATTAAAACTTATTTTTGCACTCTTTTGAAAAATTGAATCTCGAAAATGGTGCAGCATTCTTAAAATAAGTTTCGAAATGATTATCTTTCTGTGTTTACATGATGTACAATTAGTTTGTTTTGTCTTGTGTTTATTTAACTATTTCATTATCCGCTATTTATACATTAATTACTCACGGCTTTCCGGTCTCCTTAAGCACACCATTGAACTCGTATAAATGCCTATTGGGCAGTTCACACTCGATCCTACCCTCTAAACGCTGCAGATCCTTCGTTTCCAGCAGTTCAGCGGTGGCTGGAAGGGCCTGTCGGATCTTCAGGTTGGTCTCGCCATCTAAATTGGCCGTCTCTATGAAGCACATGGCCTGGGGTTCACTGTGGGCGAACCCAAAGTCAATATCAGCTGATTGGGGTTATATTAAGAACGCACCTGGACGAGAGGAGTATCAGATCGGCGGGGAAGAAGCTATTAATTCCCACTTTTATGATATCGCCCACACTCAGCTCCGACCAGCGAACTGTGCTCCAGGAGCCGCTATCCAGGCGTTCGATTAATCTATGATTGATCTCATTATCCGCACGATGTCGTTTCTACAAATAGAGAATATATATAAATCTGGGAAGTCTAGTTGCCTGTACTCTTATGGACTTACAATATCCTCGATTATCTCCTTGATGGCGCTCACCGAGAGGATGAACATCAGTGGCACTAGCGTGGTGTAACGACCCGTAGGCGACACCTCCGGGATTTGTTGCAGCATGGCAATTAGCAGAAAAAAGCAGTTGGAATACCGCCTAAACTGCTCGAACAGGAACGCTGGCAAAAAGCTGATGAAACTGCATGCAAACGAGATAAATTGTTAGTTATTTTCGAGTCTAATCCATCCAATTAGGTCATGATAATTGATAGGTGATAAATGGTTGGCACCTCCCACTCACCTATATTTTGCCGTCGTTATGCGATTATTACAGTACTTAGTGGGCTGTGGCCCATTTAGGTTTATGACACGCCTCTCCCCATCATCTGCATCGTAGCCGGCGGACGAGGTGAAGTCCTCATCGTCTGGAATGGTTCATTAAAGGGGGAGTTAATAGGTGCTATCAGAATGGTATTAATTGAAATAAATAACAAGGCATTTAGATACTGTGACTAATTATGTTTATATTATCTGAAATATAATAACTAAGTGGAAAGAAGCATTGGATTGGGAAAATCAATTTAAAACGCACTTAATGGAGATGAAATATTATTAGTAGGTTTCTTTATCAATGAAAATGAATAGTTATGGTTACCTATAGCATATTATGCAGTAAAGTCTTCGATGACATGATGTGAAGATTGTATTAATCAGAAATAATGAAACAATTTAGATAAACTTTGGATTTAATCAAAATAATTTTAATTTTAATACCATCCATTAACCCATTTTGAAAGATCAAAACATAAGAAACTTATATAATACATTTTATTCGTCTGCCTCGTTCAGAAACGTTGGTGTCCATCGCCATACCCATTCCACCAGATAGAAATTGGCAGCGATCGGGTTGCCCAGGGCGTACTTTCTGGCGAAACGATGGCAATTGAAATTGGAACGCCCCTTCTCCTCGCCCTCGGGTATTAGGATCTCGTCGAAGTCCAATTCCAGATACTGCTTGAAGACCAGAAAGACGACTCGATGGATATTACTACCCGTCATGCCCCGCCTGTTCTCGTAGGCCGCAATCGTCTGACCCAAAGCCACATTGCAACCCGGAACATTGCCCACCAGCCAGATGAGCCAACTGGTGTTTTTGTCCTCCATCGGTACATCCATGTCGACCATCATCAGTGTGTAGAAACGATCTGGTTCGGCCTTAAACCGTATGATTGGCTGTTTGATCACCTCATAGATCACTATCGTAACGCCCGGTTTGATGTCAATGTCGCAGGGATATAGCACAGAGATCACCTCCGTTGGCATACAGGCCAACAGCCGAGGGATGACGTGGTGTTTCCTCAGCTCAGTTACCAGTTTCTTCACCGGTGAAATCACCGGGCAGCTTACCAGCATGGTGTCGGAAATTTAAAATTTGGTTGACAAAAGGGTAATAGGAAGCTGGGAGCTAGGCTTCCCGGCCTGCTATTGCCTAACCTAAAGTTTAGTTTCCCCTACGATTTTGAGTTCTGAGTTCTTAACAGAACATCATATACGAAATGCTTTTTAAATATTTTGATTGTTTGACCCTGTTCTTTTCAATCGTTTAAAGATCTATATTTAAAATAGTTATAAGTTGCACTAGATCAACTAAAACTGATCAATAAAACCATTTCAAAACACTGGGAAAAACTAAAAGAAATCAATCTTTAGTTTGTAAAATGTAGTTTTTAAATTTTTCTAATAATTAACCTTCTAGCTTTTGGCAGTAAGTTTTCCCAGTTTCAAAATACATAAATACTTATTGATATGCTTTTCTACCAAAAAATAAAAAGAAATATTTAATTCTATAGCTTGAGAAATGTTCCCCTAAACCTAAACCTAAACCAAAAACTTACGACTCCAACGAATGCGCATAGCCCTTGTAGACATTGCGAAAGTCCATAGTGGCCTGACGAAAAAACGCGGTTAAGCGGAAACGACCTGCTCGATCTCCAGATGGCGTCGCTACCACCGACTCCACCGTTTCCTCCTCCGCTTCCTCTTCCTCGGGTCCGGGTAACTCGTCGGATCCAGAATCGCAATCGCCCACGGGCACGAAGGCAATGCTCTCACCGGCAGACTCCTCCTGATTCCTCTTGGGAAACCCCAGGATGCAGGGCAGATGGTTACTGGACACACAAAAGACTAACGAGCAGCCACAAGTGGGCGTGAAAATCGAGACCGGTATAAGAGTATCTATGTGAGGATAGCGCCTGCGCTCCCTTTTTCAATCACTGCGTATAAGAAAACACATTTTCCATCCCACAGAGGGGGGATTCTGTGGCATGCACATTTGCATATACACACAGCAAGGATAAGGAACAATCCTTTTGGAGCACTATTTGACCATTTAATCAGAGTGATTCATCACTATTCCTACCCTAGCATCTTAAGCGAATGATTGTTCGAACATCCATCACCTGGCAACGTGCCTGGTTGGAATTTCTTCCGTATTTCAGGTATCGATTTGTCGCAATTAAGTTGAACTGCACATTAAGCACGTGATATTCGTGGCTCACTGATTTCCAAGAGTTCGATTTTAATTTAATTTCATTGGTAAATTGCTTCGGTGACATTGATTGACAAACGATTATCGAAAGGTTTCTATATACATATGTATTATTTTATATAGAGAGCTCACTTTACGGCGCACTTTGCACTGCTATGTGTGTTCTCTCCTGAGCTCCGATACTACGACTGAAATAAAATATCAACGTGCTCGAAAGACCCAGAAAGGACAATAGGGATGGGTCTGGGGTGGCCAAGGGGGTAACCCGTTTGGTGCTCAGGTTGGGAAAGAAACCCCTTGAGCTTCACCCTCTGCCCATTCCACCCCCCACAAAGCTGCGTATAGTGAGTGCATTCCAAAAGGAGCTTATAAAGCTTGCGAATTATCAGTAAACCCAAAACATTGCGTACCACTTGGGGAGAAAGAGAACACGAGAAACACGCGGTGGGGAGTTGTGTTTGTAAATGCAAGAGCAAAAGCGAAAGCGAAAGGTGCTAGCAAAACAAAAGGTGAGAAACTAGAGAGAAGAGAACTTGAAAAGAGAATGCGAAGAAAGCGCGTCTGCGCTTTAAAGGAAAGGCTTTTAAATAAGAGAGAGCATGTGAAAATAATACGGCCAAGGATATACCCTAACTAATCCTCAAGTAAAGTAGTACAAAATATGAAATATTTTGCAAATTACTCAGATATAACATTCCAAATTAAGTTTTTGGAAAAAAAAAACCATTTATCTTTATATATTTTTTCACATAAGTAGAGTTCTCTATATTATTACCACCACGATAAAAAATAACACCATATAAATCATATATTTCTTATAAATAAATAACACGCAATAGGGGTTTAATAGGGATTTAAAAAAAAAAGATACGACCAAGTAAATACCCAAGAAATTCCCCAAGTACAATATTTGAAATATTTTGCGAATTACTCATATTTTTCTGATATATAATATCCATAATGTATTGTTATTGCGACATTTAAATTTCTGGGTTTTTTCCAAATAAGTATATTTTGTTCTCCATATTATTCGCTATGAAATATTATTCATACCACGATAAAAACAGTATATATAAATCATATATGTTATTTATAAAAATATCACGCAATAGGGACATGCCAATCACTAGGCCTGGAAACACATTATCAAAACGTTATCAGGATTTTAAAATTTTTGTGTTAAGTAATCAAAATTATTTAAAACATGTCAAGATTTCAAAACATTTTTACGAGTGGCAGCTGGACTATTTGTTATTTAAATGCATTAATACTTTTGTAATATATTCCGGACCCAAAATATTTTAGCAATCAGTGGGAATCATCGTGGTGACTCCAGAAAGCTATAAACAGCTTGATAACCTAATGGAACAGACGTAATCTTATCCCATTAAAAAAATTATGACTTAAGAATATATACACAGCCTAGTTGGAAATGGTTAGTTTTAGTATTTCTTGTTTGATTCTCATAGGAAAATTAGAAAATCAAATCAGACATCTTAAAAAGAAAGTTATAGCATTAATGTAAAGAAAATATATATGTAAGGACCTTTCCGTTTTTTCCTTCCTATGCCGGTTTTTTTAAGAAGGTATTTCATGGAATATCTGCTCCCTCCGGTCGATGATACATTCAGCCTTTGATGGGGATTTCTACCGTCTGTTTCAGTGACACCAGCCTCGCTCCCAGAGAATTCAGCCTGTGGTCTGGAACTGGATGAATGTCTATCGTCACCACCGGTCGGAGACACCTCAGGACCTGTGGTGGCTGTCCTTCGTAGCACCTGGCTTCTCATCCGCCGGACACCGCCGGCAATCCAAGATTGTATATTTGGCCACAAGCTCTGGGCGTTGAAGGTGGCTTGGCTGTCGGTCGTCGGATTGTTCCGAAACTGCAGCTCCCGCTGCTGTCGCCCTTGACTGTGTCCGTTGCGCCCATTTTGGGCGTGGTTGCGATCGCTGACCGCTCCGTTGTGTCCGCCACTCTCGTTTTTTCCGGAGTCCGCCATTCTAACATGGCTCCGCGACTAGCATTTATTGCACGGCAAATATTCGCGCACACGGTTCCACTTAACTTTCCGGATTTTATCTACGGTGACACGACACGATTCAATTAGTAGGTTTTCTAGTCTCTAGTCAAAGGACCGAGGCGAGTTTTCGCAATCGCGAAATTCTATTGCACTTTGGATTTTGCGTTTAACTGTCATTTTAATTCGACATGGGCGATTCTAATTATTTCTCTGCTTGATTTTCAAAAGCTTGCTACGTTAATGCACTAGTGAATAAGTTGGAGACTTAATAATATTATAAATCGTTGTAAACTTTTTTATTATATATAGGCATGCACGCTAATTTTATTAAGCTTAAAAGAGTTTGAGTCATTTCATTGTTTAAAGCGAATTACAAAAAGAACTGTGATAAAGTAAGCTTAATCTTTTGTACTAAAACATTCCATCTGTTCTCATTATTAAGTTATTATTTATATCAGCACAGTTTTTCACAGGAAATCAACACGATACTTAATTAAAAGTGATGTTCAGCAGACTAATTTATTTAAATCAAATATTTGTTTATTTACGATTTAATGTCACTCGACAAATACGGGAATATATGTATATCTTGTTTTCAATTTGCTGAATAATATTTTGAATAAAACTCACGTGACCAAATAATTGTATTGTCTTTGATATAGTAAAACCCTTCATTATTGCTGACTTTGTCTATGTAGATCATAAGTTAATAATGAAACTTCTCTTAATTTGCAAAAATTGCATTAATGCACAACCCTGAAGCTAAATTTTTCTGCAACTATCATTCCAAATGCTTTAGTATTGATTTACTGCCCACTTGATGAAAGGGTAATTTAGCTGTCATTAGCCCATCAGCCATTCCAACTAGCTCTAAGAAATTACCAGTAAGAGATATCCTTTAAATCTTTTCATTGACATATATGATATCCTGTAAATCTTTTTTATACGTCCCGCTTTGATTCAGTGACTGGGCAATTTGCTTTGGATTAATTAACCCTAAACAACAGACCAGATCCCACAGGAAGCTCGCCTCGTGCCGGCAGGTAAACACGACAGCCATAAAGAAATTAAAATATGTATGTTTAGTAGGGTGGGGGCGGAGAAAGCGGAGTGGGCGTGGGTGCGAGCCAGCGAGCATCGACCTCGGAAATGGGAGGCTAATGAAGCACCATTTTGGGCTGTGTGGTCTAACCAAGTGATGAGCGATTATTATTTTTTTTCAATTTGCGTGCACTAAACATGTGTGTTTGTTTGTCTACGTGTTTTCCGGCCATAACTATATGGTCACCCAGAGAAACAACAACAAAAAGAAAATAAATTATGGCACCCGCAGAGTCATTAAAACGCCCATCAGGAGAGTTCGATTGTCAAAGAATTTCCCGGTAGCGTTGCACGTGTGGGGATTTGGAATGGGATTCCTGAGTAGCGGCAACTGCAGCCAAAAGGGTCGCTGGGGTTTATCGATTGCTCCAGTTTCTTGTGGGGAAATGAGCCCTGCATTCTGCGAGCACATGTAAGTACCTGTAATCAACTCCCGATGGCCTTGATACAACAACAAACAAAACGAACGCAATTACACCTGGTCAAGGAAATCGACTAAATTATATACTCAATTGGACTTCGAGGGAAATTAGTCTTTAATATTTATAGCCACAAGCATTGCTACAAATGCATTTGGGACCTAAAGTAAAATCAAGGCATTTTTGTATTTCTATTTCTTATTTTTCTCTTATGGAGTCTGACGTAAATCGTTTCGGGTAGATATATCTCATAAACATATGTGGCAAGGAAAAAAAATATATATATGGCGACGCTATTAAATTTTATTCTGCCAGCCGCGACGGCGTCTAAAAATACCTCAAAACAGATATAAGAATAAGTAAATGTTTTGGATTCATTCCAAGCAAATTTACTTATTTGTGGTTTTTTAATATAAAACCATCTACAGACAGGACTTTCAAAAGGGAGTGCATGCTGTTGGATAAACCAATCTTTACTGTTCCCAAACAAAAACTAATTATATAGCTGTCGTAAGTCCCCCAAAAGGCCTGGGATCTTAAATTAAACATTCGGGCTGCACTTGAACAGTATTAACCACAGTCAGTTAGCGTGGAGAATGGTTTCCCCTAAATAGAGAGGTGATAATTATGACCTGGCAGTAATGAGTTTGAGATACAGTGAAGTGTATCTGTGCTGCTTATCTGTGAAAGGTAAACAGATACAAAATACACCGAGAACACCCGACAGTGTCATAGCTTTTATTTTTTAGGGGGGCTAGGTACGGTAAGGGTAAGGCAAAGTGGGATCCTCAAGACGACAAAGGCGTCCACAGACAATCGATACAGAATTATTGGCAATCGACCAAAATTACTGTGTCATCGTTTGCTTAGTTGGCCCCCCAACGAAATGCCCGCATTCCATGGAACACCTACTCCGTACTTGAGCTAAGGAAATAGTAATAATGACAGTCTAGATTACTGTTGTGTACTTTTTTTTATATATATAAGTACAGGGTGAGTCAAAGTGTAGGAGATGCAAGCCCCATAACTTTCCCAGCTGCATGGAAAATGCAGGGCACCATGACGAAACTGTCAAGTCACTTATTTTAATTCTCATTTATTTTTAGCACATTTTGTTTTGTGTGTTTTTTCTATCATTTTATTAATTTGAGTTTGGCAAGTGAAAGCAAAAGTGACGAAAATTATTAAAAGAAAAATAAAACTTTCTATACAACAGCTTTTATTTTTGGCAACGAATACTGATCAGCTGGTTGTTAACTATACTAGATGGGATGGGGATGTGTCACAACGGTGACGAAATGACTCACTAGTGTTTACCTTCGAGTCTGTGGATCTGCTGGTTCCCAGCGCACTGATATAATGATGACATATCGGCTAGAACTAAACGGATCTCGATCAGATCTGCCAACCGCTTCGATTTCAATGGCACTAATTGCAATTCACCAGTGAAAATTAGTTAGCACATGCACTTGCAAATGCGGCTAATGCCCGATAAAAGGGAAAAGAGTCGAAAGCAGAGAGCGTAATGCCGATGACGCCAACAAATGGCAAAGAAAACTGGTCTGAACAGCATTTACAATTAACAATTAACAACAATTGCAATTGCAAAACAACAGAAAGAGGGACGCTTAACACTGAGAGGATCGTGAGAGTAAAAGTAAGAGAGGTACGCAGAGCGGCGATGCAAAAGCGAATCGACTTTCCATGGCATGGCCAATGAGTAAATGACAATAAAGAGCGCTTTCAAATTGACTTTTTCCATGCTGTATTTCTTTTTACATGGAGAAAAATACCTCCTAGAAAAGGTAGTAACTGAATCAACTTATCAATTTGTTTAGCTTTTTTTTAACGATTAAAGTGATATTACTGATTAATTATAGTTGAGTAGCTTTAAAAGTCGTATGTTAAATGCCATAATAATATAATTATAGTCAAATATTTCTGCATTTTTACGTTTCACATTGAAACATTTTCCTACATAAGAAATTGAGGTGTCAAATTAGATGTTCCAACATATTTCATAAATTTATATTCATTTTTAGGCAACTATTTGTTGACTTTTTAGATTCTAAAATATTAAAAAGTTTTTTATTTATTTCTCCTTCTGTATACATAGATCCCAACATATTTCTTTCACTGTGCCCGTACATTTTGTACATTTGATTATACAGCTGCTACGCTTTATTGGTCGTAGCATAGCATAGCATATGAAAATCAAACGATAAATTGACGCAGTAGCACTTATTTTCGTGCATAGGAAACAAGCTGTATGGTGGTTGTTGTCCATGCAACAAATGTCCCACCTATGTGGCACTCGGATAATTACATTTGACCTTTCGCGTCGCGGGTTTTATTTAATTTTGTGGGTTTAGTTAAATGTCGTCACTTATATCCGAAAGCGATTTGTGATTCGGATGACTGTGCATCAACACTGAGATCACCGTTAAAGTCTGTCGTACAATTTAGATTAAATAAAACCGATATCCAGTATTTACTTTTGTTTGTAACAATTCGCGTTGGCTCAACACGTCGACCTCGTTAACCGGTCCAAAAAGCGTCCGTCCGCTGGCACGACTTTTTGCTCGGCGGTTCGAAAAGCGACTGAGATACTAAAACGCTGAAAAAATATTGAGCAGAGAGCGCTGAGTGGCGAAGCAACAGAGCAACCAAACATCAAGTGTTTGCTTTGATGGTGGGGTGGTAGGTGGATTTTGATTTCTGTATTAGCGTGCGGCGATACGTTGCCAGACCGCAGGAAGTAAACGCTCAAGAAATCAATTTTGGCTAGCTTAGCCCTTTGTTACTGCCCTTTAACGGTTTATCAAGATTTATATACACGCAACACGCTTGGTAATTAGTTATCACACATCTGGATGTTAGAAGTAGAAGGCCAAGTGTCAGGCTGACAAATGATATGAAAGGTCTAAGGACCAAGCCTAATAATCATATTTACGGATCAGTAAATGCTAAAAAAAAAAAATAATAAAAAGCAGACTGGCCCATGAGGGGATCGAACCCGCGACCTTCGCGTTATTAGCACGACGCTCTAACCAACTGAGCTAATGGGCCATGCGTGTTACTTTGCCAAAAGGCATATTCCTGGTGAAAATTTAAGATAATGCCCCTTGGTATCCTAAAATGAAATCAGTAAAAATCAGTGATTGCATTCATCCGTAAGTTCTAATATAAAATAATATTTATATTTTTGCAATATTAATAAAAAAAAAATAATAATAATTAGTGGACATCATAATTCTTAGCTACAAAATTTCTACACCTACAATTTTTGTATGATTCAACAAGATTCAAAGCACAAATTCTGTATATAACTATACATAAATTATATTGTTTATAATAGATAGAAGATAATCATAGAAGAAAGCAAGAAGGGCAACTCATCAATATGAAAATTGATTCCGGAACTTAAAAAAAAGGACATTTTTAAAACAAAAAAATTTTGTCAGAAGTGGGATTCGAACCCACGCCCTCAGAGAGGACCAGAACGCTCATACACTTTCGTTCAGAAAGTAAGATTTCGAATCTTGAGTCTGGCGCCTTAGACCGCTCGGCCATCCTGACACATGACGTTCTGCTGTCCGAAACCCAATTTATGTGCGTGTATACATAATGTATAACAGTAAAAGAACAATTCTACGCGAAGTATAACGGCAGCACATAATATAACAGACACTGTTAAGTTCAAGCCCTAAAAAACTTTTATGTGTTTACTCAACTACGTTATTTGTCAACGGACTAAATGTGGCCCATTAGCTCAGCTGGTTAGAGCGTCGTGCTAATAACGCGAAGGTCGCGGGTTCGATCCCCTCATGGGCCAGAAGTACAATTTTTTTTCCTTTTTTTAATGCACTTTGAAAATTAAAAAGTTGCTATAGGTTTGATGTCAACGCGCCAACAAGCTTTTTGTGGAAACTCAGATAAGCTAAGCTCAATTATGGAAGGCTAGTAATGTTATCTCATGCCGTGCACGTTACGACACCAAGTATCCTGCGATGATGTCACTTAAAAGCCGACAAGGATGATCTAACGTGCTCTATTTCTTGCAGAGCTGCTAAGTGAAATGTCAATTCAATTTGCCATCAAGGATGATTGAATTACCCGTCCCTTTAACTGACTAACTGCTGCGCGTGTGGGGTATCTTAATTTTCTTTGGCAATCAAGCTAAACGGTTTATTGAGCGATCTTATCTGGGCAATGAGTTGAAAATGCTTTTAGACAATAGAATGGCAAACAAAGAAAATCCTTATTTATGTCTTTTTTTTTTACCGATTTCTATACTTCAGACTAGAATTTTGGCCGAAATAATTTCAAGTGTCAGGATGGCCGAGCGGTCTAAGGCGCCAGACTCAAGATTCGAAATCTTACTTTCTGAACGAAAGTGTTTGAGCGTTCTGGTCCTCTCTGAGGGCGTGGGTTCGAATCCCACTTCTGACAAATACTTTTTTCATCCCCAAGCACGAATCAAAATATTTGAATATATATTTGCTGATAGAACAGAACTTCCCACTGCTTGTTCTAAATTCTTAATGCCTTCTGAATTAACAATCAAAAACGTGTTGTCACCAAGCTAACCCAGCTATTCCATTAAAGTCATATCCCTTGAGAGGATTAAATATAGTTTGTATATTTTTTACCAATAAAAAAAAAAAATCATGTCAGAAGAACACCAATTGCTCAAGCCCATCCTAATCTTAAGGGAAGAGGGGCCAGATGCAATTAGAGATGACGGCGTCGGGAATGAGTGCTCGAGGTCCAGAAAGCACGTTACATTTAACCGGGTGGTGGAGTATTTTTGCTATACGGAAAATAACACCAGCTGGAAGAGGCAGCTGATTCCTGACAACGATTTGGTGAGTATGTGAATGCCAAGCACCTGAATATTAATCTATTGATATTTGGGTTTTCTAGCGCAGAAGCATGCCCCCAGAGTCGAAGACTTGCTTCGCAAAAAACTAAAACCAGTTTATGACTGTAACCCATCATGACGGCCATATTGCAAAAGCAAAACCGAACAAACGGAAACCGCCAGCAGAAGTTGTTAGCTGAACGTGACACTTTTAACCTAATTGGGGAATAGACGGCTACGCGTGTCCTCCCAACCTAAGGGATGTTGACCTGTCTGTTGCTTTTAATGCATTTCTCATGTCCTATGGTCCTATGGTTGACAAGCAAGTGGAGCAAATGGCCAATGAGTTATTCATGATATGTACTTATTTATATTTTTGTTTGTTCGTATTAAAAGCATTAGCACTAACTATGCACTCACTTACGACTGTTTTGGCCTTCGATTCAAAGCACGTAACTAGTGGCCATGCAATTTACAACTTTTTCTGTGTGCTGAGCGGAAGGAGTAATCTGCATTTGAAATATTTACAATTGGTAATGCCCAGCCAGTTGGAGGAGAGAGCCGAGGATGGATTATGACCCATTTGGGACGTCAAAACAAGCATTCTTGCGATAAGTCTAAGTTCTGCAACTGACCTATCTCACCGCGTCGTTAAACAAATCTACAGCAACGCCGCATTTTAAAGCACCAGTAATCCTGGTAGCACCTGGAGACCGAATGATGGGCTAACGGGCAATCAGCCATTGATATGGATGATATATAGCCGTGTCATTTGATTCCCTTATCCGGACTAGCGATTCCCATTGGGAATCGCCATTTTGTGGCTATAAAAGGCCCTGGAGGGCAGTTAGTTAGCCACACAAAGCAGAAGAGCTCGACTACTAACATGTTCCTTCAGATTGTGACTCTGTTAGCCGTGCTGGCCATCACGAATGGCGCAGTGGTTTTCTTGGGTCTGGAACCTCAATCATCGCAAGGAGGCAGGATTGTGGGCGGCACAGTCACTTCCATTGAGGATCGTCCGTGGCAGGTATCCCTGCAGCGTTCCGGAGCTCATTTCTGCGGAGGTTCAATCATCACCAACAACATCATTGTGACCGCCGCCCATTGTCTGGGCTCTCCGACCACAGTCTCAAATCTCCGGATTAGAGCTGGTTCCAATAAGAGAACCTATGGAGGGGTACTCATCGAGGTGGTTGCATTTAAGATTCATGAGGGATACAACTACGACACCAAGGTCAACGATATTGGAGTGGTGCGTCTGAAATCGCAACTTGCATTTGGCTCTACTATCAAGGCCATCACGATGGCAAGTGCGACACCATCTCATGGATCAGCGGCTAGCGTCTCGGGCTGGGGAAAAACCTCCACCGGAGGCTCCTCCTCAGGGACGCTACTCTATGTGGACACCAAAATTGTGGGTCGTACGCAGTGCGCTAGTTCCATCTATGGATATGGTTCCTTCATCCAGCCAACCATGATCTGTGCGGCGGCGACGAACAAAGATGCATGCGAGGGTGACTCTGGCGGACCTCTGGTATCCGGAGGTCAACTAGTGGGCGTCGTCTCCTGGGGACGGGAGTGCGCTCTGGCCAATTATCCAGGAGTGTATGCCAATGTGGCCGAACTACGAGATTGGGTCCTCCAGGCCCAAAAGACTGTCTAGCTTAAGCTAAGTGCAATAAAAACCCATTCGTAATAGTAACTGCAGCTGGCAAGGCTTTTGTTTCTACTGCTTCTTCCGCTCATTTGACTGCTCAACAACAGTAACTTGTGAGTCCAGTCCCCAATGCCACACATGCGGCAGCAGGACGTGCCCTTCCTGTGGGCCACGACGCTCGTACATGCAATCTGGGTCAGTCCACAGGGGTTGGCTGTCCGGAAAGGAGAGGCCTTAAAAGTAGGGTAACAGGGGGCGACGGCACAATGGTAAGCCAGTTACTTAACGCCCAGTACAATCGGGTGACATATCTGTGACATGGTTGGGAATGACACACAAAATCTCTCAAATTGGATTTGGGATAACTCCTTAAAAAATAGTAATAAATTATAAATGGTAAATATTTATTAAAGTCTTACAAAAACTCTGGCTGTATGTCCACTCAAATCGTGTTATTTGTGGTTTATAATGGAAACTTTAAGTCCAATATTACCTTCTATAATCACTTTAAATATTTTATAGAATTTAGTAATATACATAAAAGTATAACAAACAATAAATTTTAAATACTTTAACCGGAGATTACCTGGGAATGACATACTACCACCCAATCTGTTTAATTTATACATTTTTTAATTACCCTCTTGAACTAAAATTCAATTTGTACGCCAATGTGCACTTACATATATTATTTTTTAACAAATCCCATTGTAAATAATTTATAATTCTAACTTATACAACCAACACTAACTACTACATCTTCAAAATCAACAAAAAGAAACACTATAGTCGAGTGACGCGGTTATAAGAAACCTGTTACTATTTTACACAATTTTAAAATATTAATTTTGTTAGTGAATATTCATAAAGCGCCACCTATTGTCAGAGAAAGCATGTTGAGTAACTGATAGTGACATCACAGTCCATCTGAGGCCTTATTACCTACATTTCTTCATAAATAGCGAAATTTTGTTCCGATTTGAAAAATCTTTGGTAAATCTATAGATATTGATATGGCTTAATCGACTTCGCTATTGATACTGATCAATAATATTTATACATACATACTTATCATACTTTTTTACTGTTACATATTTTTCATTTTCGAATGTAATATACCCTTTTACTCTACTCTGACAGATCTCTATAAGAAATTCACAGAATTCTACTTAATTAAGCCCGTTATTAAAAAAAGAGCAATGAAGCAAACTCTTGAAAATCGAAGAAGAAAATGTTTGCTTATATTAAAAAGGGCAATCAGAAAATATGGTCTGCAAGTAAATGAAGCAGTTGGCCCGCAAACCTCCGGGAGGCATTGGCAGTGAAAAACCGCACCCTCGCTCCACCGAGACTCAGACTACGGGGCGCCAACGGTATTGATCCAAAACGACAAAATAGAGGAACGACAAAGAGCGGAGATGACAGGAAAACCGATGCCCTTCGACCCACAAGCAGCATCTAAAGATGGTGACTAGCCTATGAAATGCCAGGGATTCTTGGGAATCCGTTTGCAACCCCAACTCGGATCTTACCTTCGTACTCCGTTCGCTTCCTTCGCAGGAATGAGGCGGTCATTCGCAGACCCCGTTGTGCCAGGACAGAAACCCTACTCCTGCCGCTCTGTCGTGATAATATGGAGCCTTTGGAATCCTTGCGGTTGGACGAACGTCGACGTGACGACAAAGTCCCTGCCACCGAGGTGGATACTGAAGCAGGAGGCTGGAGACCAGAGACCGGGGTCACCGGCGCATTGGGCGTGTCCGAGTCGATGAAGCCGAGGTTACTATTGGCACTGTTCAGGTGGATGCTGGAATGATCCGTAGGTCCACATAGCGTCACGCTGCCACCACTATGGGCACTATGCGAGACAGAGGCTGCCAGCTGTTCATCCAGGCCTGCCGAGACCCTTGGGGTTAGGTGCTCCAGTGACTCGAAATCCCGGTCAATGGCCGGCGGCATTGAGTGTCGGAACCACGAATCCTGCCGCTGCTGGGCCACACGCTGTTGCCGTCGGCGCTGGCTGGCAGAAGATCCCGGAATGGTTCCGCAAACGTCTATTGGGATCATCTATTGATCCACTGTCCGGACTCCGAAGCTCTAGGCTCTGGCGTTGGTAGTGGCCCGACATTTGTGGACTTCTCTAATCAGGGATTTCTCCCAAGGCACTACTTGGTCAGGATTAAAAGTCAGCAGGCACACTCAAGGCACTTTTGGCAACCAAATCGTTTTCCAATCTTGTTATGTAAGACTTTCAATGTCTGACTTGGTGGGTGGTTCCATGGTCGTCTCCAAACCGAATTCCTTTACAAAATTTTCCTGCCCAATTCGTGGGCCTTGACTCTGACAGGTGTTGAGAACCGGAACAACTGCCGAACCAGACGCTGCCATTAGTCGAACAACTTTAAAGGACTGGATTCCGGCTAATACATCAAAAATTCATTGCAGTTCTGACAATTGGGGGTAATGGTGTTTGTTTGTCACGCATATCAAGACCGGGCACGCTTTCGTTGGTGGAGATACGAGTACGAGTATCTATTATATACTTTCAAGTGCCTTCATTGCCAGGAATCGAATCAATCTTCCTAGCTTAAATCTTTAAATATTTAAAGCGTCGCTCACGGCGGAAAACCTTCACATTATCGAACTGCACTCGCAAATTCAAGTGGCCCAAAACTGCAGTGCTAAACTGAGTATTTACACCTTTCCAATTACGCTACGCCGTAATTGCAAAAAGTACGAAAAGTAGCGGGATTGCGGGTCCGCTTTCAACGATTTCCCACGGCTATGGCAAAACAATTGCAGCTGACGCAGCGCCGCAGCCAAAAAATAAAAATACGTTCAAACCGAACCGAAGTCAAAAGCCAACTGCGGATCCTTCACGGGAAAAAGGAACAACAACCCACAGCCGCATTCGGTCCACGAACACCATGTTCCCGAGCCCTTGCTGCCGAAGGCGACTATGGACTATGAAAACTTTTCAAAAATATATGTGTCGCTCCGGAATACACGCCTTGAATGTGGGCCAGGCCAAGCCAGGCACTAAATAAACTACGAGATAAATTGGGCAACTATGAAAATGTGACTGTTTATATTTTACATTTCTCCAAGAGAAAGTATGCAATCACGGCTAGTACTCGTTGCAGTAACTTATATTGCTTTTGGTCGCACGAAGTCATCGCGGCCCATTAGCTCAGCTGGTTAGAGCGTCGTGCTAATAACGCGAAGGTCGCGGGTTCGATCCCCTCATGGGCCAGCTTGATAATTTTTTTCTTAAAGCTATTTTTTTTATCCAAGTGCCGTTATAGTAATCTTATCTTTTTATTGTCAGCAACCGAGATTCACCATTCTTGTATCAATATTTGCTATTAAATTCTATTTTAGGGGGGTGTAAAAGAATGCTGTGACCAAAATACATTATGGCAATGTACAGTATTACTTTACTTTTTTGAATTTATATGTTTTTAAACTATGTATAAATTTAAATATATATATATATATACAGAAGGTGATGAGAGTTTAAAGTGAGAAGTGAGTTTTGAACTTATACATATGTAATCACCAAGTTTATCGAAATTTAAGTAACCAGTGAATCATGAGTTATGTTAGTAAATTAGAATTACTTCCCTTTCCCTTCTGAATACTAATTACCCAAGTGTTTCAGAAAGTAATTAAGCTATGATGAGTATAACTGTTTAATCTGTTTCTGCTAATTTACTGAAAACTTTTGTACGTCGATCATCGGAATTATACTATAAATGTTTTACTTTTGATAACATTAAATGGTTCTTCTTCTGGAGGGCATACTGTTATATGCCCATAGGCTATTCCTAGAAAGCTACAGATTTGCCCGGACTCACAGCTTATGGAATACAGAAGTTTGAACTTGCACGGCTTGAGGTGTGCTATTACTCACAAGTATTTAGGAGACCAGGTTCGGGGTACTCGTTGCGGCGATATGACAGACGAAGGCGTGAAATAGAGGGCATAGCTTCCTGCTGAGCAACTGGTGACCGAACGTAAACATCCGAGACAAACGCAGAATTGAAAACCAAGAAAAGTGCGACCGTTGTTTGGCTTCAGTTTGTATTTCCACACAATCCGTTCAGTTCAGTTCCTCGAAGAAGGGTAATTTCATTTATGTCAGCATAGATGACATACACTAAACTCGCACTAATATTTACGCACTGATGGGTATTCTATATAAAGTTCATATACATATGTATGTACATATGAACATATATTGATAAGGGAGTAAACAAAGAGGTAACTAGACTGATAAGGTAGTCTTACACCGTTGCACACGATTTTCTCTATTTGGACTTGGAACTCAATTAGTCTTAACACCTTATAGCTTTATTATTATAGTAAATACGAGTGCCGACGCTCGTTTTTACTGTTTATCATTTTGCGCTTTTTATTATTCGCAGCTGGCATGGTTGCATTCGCTTTTTTGCAGATCTGGCAACGTTGCCCGGAATCACCTGCTTGCAATTTATCGGATATCGTTGGATGTGTGTTTAAAACGACCGGTAAATATTCTATCTATTTTACCAATTATATTTTAACATAAAAATAACTCCATATTATATACATTATAAAATATACAGTTTTGAAATGGCATTCTTTTACTTAATTTACCTCTCTTTGAACTAATTAAGATGTTTACGACGTTGACAAATCCAAATAAGTACAAAAGACGATTGTAATTCTAACGCAATTGTTTATTTCATAAAACGACAGGTTACAAATGACTTAAGTTCTAGGTCTTGTTCTCCAGGACACCGCACACTACTTTTTACACATTGTACAAAGGATGCTTCGAAACAGAGTTATTGGATGGCAACGTGGTTACACCGTTTTTGGTGGGTAAGTCAAACAATTATTTCAATATCCGTTTCGATGATTAACTGAAATCAGGGATTAAGAGCAGTTAAGCAGTAGGAGTATACATTAAATAGGCAGTAACTACAGGCAGGTTATACAAAAATCGAGGATCATTCGACCACAAGGATCAGGACAAATATGCTAAAGAATATTCGTAAAAGTTTAGGTACTAGAAGGATATATATACATTATAATATACATGTGTCATTCAATATGAATGAGTGCGCCGGGTTAGATACATTTTGCCAGCACTCGGTTAATTCATTAAATTTGTGTTGTGCAAAAAACAGGTGTGTGTGTGTGTATGATATTATTTCATTCAATGGGTTCGATTCCCTCAACAGTCTTTAGAAAATGCATGGGTATTTCGTATTAATAACTTCGTTGTTTCTGTTCTCTTCAAACACAAGAAATATATATAAATCAATATCAAGTTAGCAACGAGACAACAAAAAAAGAAATACAATGTAGTCAAAAAATGAAAATGGCAAGAACAATTTGAAAATGGCAAATGAAAATTGAGTAAATGGCCTCTCGGGTTAATGCTGATTTTCTGGACGTCGGCGCGATCGTTATAACTCATTCTCCATGTTTGAGCGAACGTTTCGCAGAACGTTGTGAGTTTTTAGTATCTGATTTTTGATGTCTTTCTCGACTTGTGCTTTTGCTTTGTTAGCCAGACGCAACTTTTCGTAGGTGTCTTCAAATGCGCGCTTGGTGCGGATTAGTTTGCGCCGCAACTCGGCGTTTTCAAGATCTACCTTGGCACAGTCATGAGCTGTGGCTCCAGCAGTTGGCATATTGGTCTTGGCGTCGGAAGATGTGGATTCTATTGAAAAAGAAACTGTTTAAAAGGTTTATCTTTTTGTGGCATGATTTTAACAAACTCACCCTCTGACTTTGTCTTTTGTACAGCTGCACCCTCGGTTTTCATCTCTACAATCTTGAGCATCGCCCGCTGAGCATTGGATAGCTCCACGCTTGAAATCCTTCCAGCATCGCTTTCTATACCCAGATCGGGGGATGATGTGTTTACCCTCTGGGACACGACTGCAGCAGCAGCCAGTTTTAAAGATGTAGCCTGACCCAAGGGTGGTCCCATGGGTACGGGCACTTCCTCCGAAGTGTAACCTGACTGAGAGATATCGCTGCTATTGGAGCGTTTCTGCATAAGCTTTTTCTGGTCTTCCTTGAGGGCCTCCAGTTGTTGTTTAAGTTCCTCGGAACGCTTCTCCAGTTGAAGCTTATCGTTGTAGGCCTTCGTGCGTTCCATCACTGCCCTCGATGCCTGCAAGGTGCTCTCGTCAAGTTGCTTTTTCAAGGCTCGCGTGGCCAGCTCGTTCTCGACGAGTGTCTGCTTCAGATCCTTCTCGTTCTCCTGGTGATAGTCCAGGGATCGTTGCAGTTCTAAAAGCTGTTCAGCTTGCTCCTGGTAAGTGGCTATGGCCACCCAGTCGCGTCCGAGAGTCTCCTGGTGCAGGCGCTCGTGCTCTTCCAACTGTTGCATTGACTCCAGTTTGTGTTGCTCCAGTTGGGATTGCAGTTTCTCCAATGAATCTGCGTGCTCATGCTCCATTTCCTGCAGTTGCTGCTGCAATGTCTGCAGTTCCATTTCGGTTATCTGGGAATCCGCAGTCAAAGTGCTCAGTGCCAACTTCAGTTGGTCAATCTGCTGATTCTTAGCCTCCAACTGGCGTTGCAGCTCCACCATTCGCTGATCTTCGTGTGAACCTATAGCCTGCAGGTCCGCAGTCAGAGCCTCGTTGATGACACGCAACTGCTCCAGTTGTTGACTGATATCCAGACAGCGCAGTTGCTCCTGTTTGTATCGGTTGTCCAGCTCAACCAACTGGCACTGCACGTTCAGGACACGTTCGTCCTTCTGGGCAATCTGCTCCTCCAGCTGGGCAATACGTTCGCTGTTGCGATTACGATCCTGGCGGGTGGCGCAGGCTCTTCCTTCGCTCTCCGACTCACTGGCTGGCTGTTCCGGCGCCGCCAAACTGTTCGAGGTTTCGTCCAGACCAATGCGCGCCAGAGAAACCTTGCGATCTGGCTCTGACCAAGCCTCCGACTCGCTTTGGTTATCCAACTGTTGAGAGGGCAATGGAAGGGAGCGACGTTCCTTTCTCTGCTGACCTTCGGAGTTTCGACGTTTTTCCAACTCTTTTTTAAGAGCCTTGTTCTCCGCCTTCAAGTTCTCTACAGTTGGAGCCATCGAACTGGCGGCATGGATTTCCTCATGGGAATTAAAAGTCTTGTTGCTAACATCTGCTTCGGTGTACAGGATCTCAGATAGATTACACAGCTGTGCGAGGCTCTGATCAGCCAAGGAAGCACCAGTCATGTTCAGCGTCATATTAAGGCTCTTCGAAAGATCCAAGCTGCGATCCACAGCCTTTCGCATGGCGTGGCGACGATCAGCAGCCAACACCCCGAGGACATCTTTGTGCTTCAACAGAGAGTTAAGGAAACCAGCCAACTCTTCCAATCGATTGGTCAGAACACCGCAGACATCGACGCACTCCTGTCGCCACTTATCCGACGTCTCCACATCCATACGAGCTTGCTGAAGATCTCGTCGCAGTTGTCCAGTTTCGGCGGAATTCTGCTGATCGTCTGCCAAGCGTTGGAAGAGCACGTCCACCTTCTTTTGGAGTAGCTTGTTCCGTTCCAGAGCCCTCAAATATTCTGACTCTGTAAAGGATTGCTGCAGGTCTGCTTCGCCAGCGGACTCTTCGCCAATCTGCGGCAGCATCTTTTGCTGTTTAGCCACCAAATTGGTGAGGCGTTCTACCTCACGATTCTTCTCCCACAGCTCCTTGTTGACCAGATTCTGCAAGTTGGCCGTCTTCTTCTTGACCTCTGCCTGCAACTGCTTGATCTTCTCCTCTTGCTCGTGGATCTTCAGTTCATAGCGCACCCTCAGATTGGTTGAGATTTCCAGGGAGCTGGCCTCGTTGTCGCTCATCGAGCGGCCTGTGGTCGATGGAGATACGGTGGCCTTGTTGCTGTCCTTCTGGAAGGAATATATTATTTAAAATTAGTTTTATTGTAAAACGAAAAATTAGAAATACTTTAGTTATACAAAATTGGTTTCTAAATTGAACAACTAATCTAGTTACTTCATGAAATTAAAGCTTTACAAAAAGAAAAATCCTATAAATGTGTAAGGTAGGCTATTATTGTTAATTCTTTGGTCCGATTTTTAACAAACTTTTGGCTAGTTTTCTTAATTGGTTTATAAATATCTTTAAAAATGTTTCTGTGTCATGCACAATTAGTAGTTTTTCGGACGACATATACATGGCAGCCTAAAAATGTAAACGACATATGTTAAGGTATTCTTTGTATTTTTAGCAACCCAATTCCCTACAAGTTCGTTTAGTGAACTCAGGCAACAGAAGGTTGTGTCACTTTTTAATTAAATAAACCAAAACTAAATAAAATAAACAAATATATCCATTAAATCCTCACCTCCTTATTCGACGACTGTTCCTTCTCCTGATTGAGCTTCTTAATCTCCTTCTCCTGGCTACTCAGCTTCTGCATTAGCTTCTGTATGGTGCGACAGGCCTGCTCGTGAATCCTTTCGCGCTCCTTAAGCTTCTCCTGGGCATCCTGCAGTTCGCATATCTTGTCCGCCAGTTGGGCACCCAGTTCACGCTTCGCCTGCAAGGGAAACCAGATCCCTAAATTAAGTGGCTTCAAAAAGAATCAACGCAAAATCTTAGGTTTTACATTTAATGGGATTCAGGAACATTCATTAAATTGAGATTGCGACAATAATAGGGATAAAATTTAATACACTTCAAAGGAAAATTTGTCAACATCTGGACGGGCGACAGACATCGTTCGTATTGGATATATGGCAACTTCGGATTCACTGGATTTCTATCAACGATCAACAAAACCGGAACGAAAGAGATGTGGATGATTAAAGGGAGAACAGGGTTCCATCCAAATAGGACAGGCAAAACATCCCGTTGGATGAGCGAGACTGCAGCGAAGGCAACTCTATTCTGGTGACGGAATCTATACCATCAGAAGACAATCGAAGCGGCATACGGTTATACTGCAGACAGGAATGCACCCGCACCATCAGAAATATGAGTTTAAGGGCTACGTGCCCCAGCGCCACAGGAACTGCCGGAATCCAGTAAAGCTTGGCAGCGAATAGTTGTAGAAGGCCGTACTGGGAGCCGTTACGGCCAACAAAGTGGCATGACTGTTGTGGTGGTGTACTCGCTGTTGAAGAAACTGTGGATTCGGATACCGATGTGGTGCTGCTGCTGCTGCTGCTGCTGTGGACAACGACGTTTTAGGAGCTGAACACACAGATCGCTGGATGATGGTAAGAGCTTCACCTGACTGGATTTCCATTGGCAAAGGCTCTTGTGCGACGAAGGTCCCGGACTGCCACACAAAACACTGATCGATGAAAGGTTTGAGTGCAATGAGGACGTGCTGCCGCTACATTCAGAAGAATTTGTGATACCAACCCCGGTATCCGCTGCCGTGCGTATCGGTGGCACTATAGCCACTCCATGATCCCACTGCAGCAGCTTCTTTTGCTGCAGATTGTCGGAGAGGTCACGGAAGTATACGTTCTCCTTCCGCAATATATCTAGCTCGGCGTTCAACTTAGCTATCAATTCTTCATATTCCAGCAGGCTATTCAAGATACTTCCATAAGACTTTTCCTTACGCTTGATTGTGCCCTTATGGAGGGGAGGGGTATTGCAATTTAAGGAGCGAAGGGGTAAGGAAGTTGAAGTTGAAGACTCACTTCCAAAAGCTGGATGGACTGACGCTGAACGTCTATCGTATTGTTGGTCTCCTTCATAGAGCTGACTTGACGCCCCAGCTGGACCTCAATGGCACTTATAGAGGACACCAGATTCTGGTTTTCAGCCCGACACTCTTCAATCGTGACCTTTAACTGCTCTATGATCCTCTAAGCATACAGTTCTCTTTAACCTCTTGATTCCACCCCCTATCTGCTTTAAAGGAAAATTACTAATGTCTAGCTTTACTTACGTTTGACGTCTCGGCGGCTTCTGCGTCCTTTTCAAGGCGATCAACTAGTTCAGCATTCTTGATGGCTAGCTCCTGAATCTTGGCCTCACAGGCCGTTATAGTTTCCAGGCGCTCGGCCAATGTAAATTCCAGATCGTGTTTTATCTTAGTGTTGCGCAGGTCAGACTCCACAAGTTCCTCCTCCAATTTTTGGACTTCCGACTCAAGACGCTGCAGCTTTCTGTCATCAAATGCAACGTTTTTACCCCCTTGGCCTGACTCTGCCATCTGTGAATAGGAGACCACAATTAATACATCAGTACATTAAATATATAACAAAAACCCACCTCGTAGGAGCGAATCTGATCCTGCAACTCATCAATAATAGTCTGACTTTCAAAGTCCGCTTTGCGCTGCATATCCTCGTGGTGGGAAATGGCTCTTGCCGCATCCTTTAGCAGCTCCATCTTCTCGTCGACAGTTTTCCTCAGCAACTCATTTTCAATCTTAGCATCGATGAGCTGTTTGTTCAAGGAGTCGGGGGAATGGTTTGCACGTGCGCCCGGCTGACCCTCCTCCATGAAGTAGATGCGCAGCTTCAGATTGAAGTTCTCCTTGCGCAGCGAGGACATCTGTTCCTCCAACTCGCGCACAGATCGACCTTGCATTATGGGCGAGTGACTGCCGCCCTGAGGTCGCGCCACATCAAAACTGGCATCTGAAAAAGAAAAGTTGATAAGATTAAAATGAATTAAGTTACTTAAAGTACTCGTTTACTGACTGAGAAAGTCTTGGGACTGTGAATTTCTCAGATTATGCGAGGATGAGGAACGATTTCTGTTCATGACTTTTACTTTTCGTTTCAGCCGTTAAGGCGCAATTATATAGAAAATATAAAAAGGCAACTGTACGACCGAATAAATGTACAAATGCTTGTGTGTTTGCCAAAACGAAATCCTAATATTCAATTTTATTCATTTAAAAACAAACTAACATTAATGTCATAGCCAACTTTTTAACTTTTTAAATTCGAAAATAAAAAATTATAAATCTAATATATTTTAAGACGTTTACTTCTGCTAAAACGAGTTACCATTTTTATCTTTCAGATTCGCCTGAGCATTACAACTTACATGAGTTCTCCATGGTGACATCTTGCAGAGCTCCCGGACTGGTGCTGTAAAGAAAGAGGAAATCTATTAAAATTAATTAATAACAGCTCGCTGCGACCTCGCAGAACATCCAATAAAACAAGTCGAATATCAACGGTAATTAAGATTTTAATTTTGCATATACAAATTCACACAAAAATATTTTTCGGCAGTGATGACATAATGGGCAGCTATCTCTAACAATCTTTGACCTCTTCCAACTCGCTGGTCGAGCAATCAGTGGAATTGCCAGACTGAAAGCACTCATCGATGGTTTCCAAAGTTCCATTGCAGAACTCCGGATAGACAGACCAAGCCGTCCAGCCCTGTTGTTTCTGAATGAGACGGGCGCATTGGACGGCCATGGTGATGTCGTCGCTGAGAAGGCGAGTGCAATTTACATTGCAATCATTGAATGCATAGTATTCCGTATGATTTGGTGGCGCACACCAATAACGATCACTAATTTGGAATATTCCGTAATCCCGAGAGCCATCCTCATTGGCCTGACCCACAACGTGAGTGTTGAAGCGACTCTCAAACTCCGCAATGCAAAGCCACAAAGGCAACTCCGATTTCGGGACATCCAATATATAAAGCTGGCCAGCAAGTTCGCAGGGCTTTAAGCGAATGGCCAGCAAAGGAGTCCCCTGTAACAGGAACCACAACACCGGGAGTACTCTCGCTTTCAACCAACTTGATCGGACCATTCCAAGCAAGTTCCAGTCACAAAGTGGCTCTCCTAACTCCGGCCATCAAGGTATCAACTAGTATCAAACGATCTTGGCTAGCCCGCTTAATCCGATTCTAAAACCGGTTTATATTATTTGGTATGGCTTATGACTTAAATTGGTAATAAATACTGGAAAATTGACGAACAATGCAACGGGCGCTGTTGCACTTTGTTCTGACAACTAAATATCTACTATTAATTAATGTCATTTCTCCTTATACCAACAATAACAACTAGAATCAATCGGGTTTTCTATTCTGAACATTATTTGCTAATTAATAAACTGATTTCGTTTTCCTTAGCTATCCATTGGGACGTGAAAATGATAGAATTGCTTTCATTCAAATGAACACTATAGACTATACTACGGGGAAACATAATGAAATCAAATTGAGATCTTTTCTAAAAGATTCAATTATCAAGAAGTAACTCAAGGAAAACCCAGCGAACTTAGTCTAAATTTTACATAAAACTTGAGAACTATTTCTAAATTACACTCCGATTGACCCTCAACCATATAGTTCTCAATGAATAGCTTCTTGATTTTACGATCCGCACTGTACATTTGTTCTTTTAATTAACGACACACCCAATTGCCCAAAACGGCAATCAACCTTTTTTTTTTTGGCCAATTGCTCTGTGTGAACTGAATATTTAGCTAAAGTCACACTTGAATGATCGCACTTCCAAAAACCGCAAGTCGAAATGGATGAGATTACACTTCCGCGCCTCAAAATAGGGAAGTCCAATTAACCCAGTATAGATTACGTACCGTAAGCCCCACAACTATAAAACAACCAGAACTTACCAGAATGCTGAACTGCTGGAATTTAGAGAATATCTCTTGAATGGAGAACCAGGTACATCGGACGAGTGGTTTTGTGATGAAGATCGAAAGATACCAGCCATATTCTATGTTTCATTTAGCATTTGCCTTCTTATTCGTTTTTATTTTCTTCAGTTTGTATATATATATATATAGTTTATCTGTATATATTTGCAGCGACTCTAAATTTGAGATTTAATTAGTTGTTTTTACACGGGGTGGACACGTCATCCCTAGCAGTGGTTGTTGTTGTTCTTGGCTTTATTCCCTAAATAATTTTGCGGCGCACGCCAGACTTCGTTACGTATCCGCCATGCCGTGTTCCAAGGGGCAGTCGTCGAGCCGGTGAGTCATGGGCTGCTGGCCGACGTGCGCAGCAATCAGGAGCATTCAGCCGTAGAGCGGAAGAAGCTTCAAAGAGTCTGGCGCTCCTACGAATGGGATCCGTCCCAACGATAGGGGAAGGACGACGGCACATGTGGGCCACACCATCTTTCAAGATACACACACACCTATTTGGTTGTAATTTATTTTGGGAATTGAGCAAAATGCAACGAGGCGACCGCAATAGAAACGGCAATTGTGAACCGGACGCCAGAACTCTGTCAAACATTTTCCTCTCAATGTTTTGTTTTGGCTTTCGACTATCGGTTACTATGGTGGTAATGAAAATCAATGGTTTCAGCTGAGGAACGTAACCTGTATTGGTTGGTAAGCAACAACAGGTGTCCATTGGAAACGTGTTAGAACATGTGTCTCTTTGATTAACACCTGAACTAAATCATAAATGCATTTTAGCGGTCTTATATTACCAGGTAGACTGCAGTTAACAGCCCATTATCATCTCTCCCGGTGAACCTGCGCTCATCTACCTGACTGCCTGGCGCGCCTCGAGTGGGTGTCAAACTATGGCCAATGACACGCAAAGGCGCCTGCATTACTCAACAAAGAAGTACAATAACAATAAACAGAAGTGCACTGAGCATACATATCTGTGATATGTGAAGGTAGATGCGTGAAGGTAGTATTGCGGATAAAAACCATATGGCTGGAGTTCTACTTAAGCTTAAAGATTTTTTGGCAGATAATGCAAGGTAGTCTGTTATTGTCCAAATGTACTTGCTGATTACCGATAATATTCTCTTATAGAATTATTTGAAAATGTACATTAGTAAAACAATGCATAAAATGGCGGTGACATCCTTTAAGAAACATCTGTTGACTCTCCAAACTAGCAATATCTTAATTAATAACTTGAATAATCATAATTAATTGTAATCAATGCAGACTTTCTTAGCACGAACAAAGACTGCGGCGCTTGCTTGACATTTCAAAGAAACTTTTTTTCCAGGAATTAAATTTTTTCTATTTAGTTTTTTAATTGGAAAGATTAACATAAAAACTCATAATATGAATCATAACTCATTTTATTAAGTATATGTTGTAGCTCTACATTAAAGGGAAAGGAATTTCGATTTTGATCTTTCAAATTTTCCATTTTTGCATTTTAAACATTAAAACGTTATGGGCAATCCTATTATACAAAATATCACATTAAGGAAAAAACGAACTTTATGAGCAATTTACAATATTTGAAAAATACTTTTCTTTTGTATTTATAGGTCCCTTAAAATATAAAAATGTAACTGGAATCATCCGATACTGTACTTTCTAGGGCAGGATGCTTTATTCAGGGTAGGGACCAAACAGCAGTGAAGTTTTAGAGGGCAACAAAAGAGGTTCCGTTTTTACTCCGTAGGGGTTAATTCCTCGAGTCCATGACCCCTGGCTGAATGCACGTGTGTATGCATATGTTTAGGTACTAACCCACACACATAGAACATATGAAACTCCCGACTGATAAAACTTATGACTTATGAGGAACTAGGAATTTCAGGAAATGTTAAACTAACGCAAATTAAATGATACGACGATTGAAAAGTGTGGAATGTTCTCTATTCCACAAACAAATTAATTTCTATACGTTTTTCCCCGACTAAAATTAGCCGCAGCATCGCGGCGACAAAACCAAATAAACGAATAACAACAACAACAACAGCTTGGGGCACCACCACAGAAATCTTTAGTATTCCTAAGTATGTACATATATATTACATTGTACATCCGAGCACACTTTGTACTTCATATATGTATATAATTCATTGTATTTTTCACTCGAGAACCACCAGCATCCTCTGAATCGCTTATCCACAGCCGATGTATGCAGTAAAAACAAATCAATCTATCACTTTCGTATCTCGCAGTGCAATATAAACAATTGCACTTATGTACAGATATGTATGTACAATCAAACACTCACACACCCGCACAACGCTTGACCCGCTGATTCTTACTATTTATTTATATATAACCGTATGTGTAAGTATATATGTATATATGGCACGATTGATAGCCGAGAGGAAAGCAAAATAAACCAAAAAATGCTCTTTATACGTCCAAATAAACCGAAAGCTAGAACATAACTGACTGAAAATACGATGCGACCGATAAAGAGAGACCTTCGCTTCATGAAGCGAGAGAACCGAATGGGAGGAAAACTGAGACTCATCTGTGACGAAAGGAAAATGCGCTGAGCAGATGTTACGCATTTCCCAATGCGGAATAGCCGTAGCCATACACTAAGAGAAAAAGAAATTCAGCTTATTTATCCTATATTTTATGTGATCAAAGAATCTGTTGCATACTTTGAAGATACTATATTTCGATTGAAAATTAAGTTGATTCACCTTTTTCGGATTTTTTTTATATGACTTTAGCTTGCTATATAAATTTAGGACTACTTATAAAAAATTATATAGCAAGAATAAAAAGTTATATAAAAATAATACATTTTAATATGTATTCATACAATTTTTATAAATTCTTACATATTCCTAATTTGTTCATTTCTAAAAATTAATTCTACATTGAGACATAAAAATCATATTTTTTAATAAATAAAATATAATATTAATGTATTTTTTTAATTAATCTTTAAATAATCTTTTTCCTAGTGTAGTTTTGTTATTGCTGCTCTCTTTGAGCAGAAGGGGTGGGTAATTTGCCCGTAAAGTACATACATATGTATGTATTTGTGTTTATCAGCATACCTCCCCCTCTAAGGCAGAGCAGTACAAATCTGGGAGAGCTCCAGCTGAGAACGTTAGTTCCCGATCACAGTGGGCACGATCACCATGTCACATGGTGATCATCAGCTGCGCACTCGCAGTAAACCAGGAATATAAGCACATATAATGGGTTTAAAATCAACTCTTATTGGAAATTTTCAAACTTTCGTTATCGACTTACTCATCAATACTTTTGGATAATGCCTCCGCCAATTTGCGTAGAACCCTTCTGTCAATTTCGGACGCGCCATTCTCCTCCAGAAAACTGGTCACCGTCTCAATCAAGGTGATTTCCCTCAAGGACGATGCGCAGGTACCATTGCCGTCGCCGCAATAGTCCCGCAAAACTTGCTTAGACTGGTCCATACGAGGTCCTTTGAAGTCTTTCTTTGTTTTTAATAACTCTAACACTTAACAATTTCACAAAGGACGCTACTAACAATTAGTTTTTTTTCTGTTTGGAAAATGAAGCGCGCTGTATCAGCTGTTTTAGGCGTCCGTTATCGAAATGCAACCAGTCACCTTTTTAGCATTGCCATATGAAAAGAAAAAGTTGCTAGAATAGTATGGCAGCACTGTTTGTCGATTTCTGTCTACGGAAAGTCGATGCTTATCGATGGTAAACAACATCGACGGTTTACGAAAATTACCATTTCCCTGATAAGCAACTGGAACGCAACGACCAAAGATATAAACGCCATGCTATAAACGCTTCGCTGGCACGTTTTCGTTAGCCCCCAACCAAAACTAGACCAACTTCTGTCCGGGGGTAATACACAGTGGGAAAACAACACCAGCTAGTCGAAAAGCTCCCCCTCAAAAATTAGTAACAATGTTTGCCACACTGAAAAACAAAATCAAAGAGGAAACTGGTGAGGATGTGGTCCATTCGGCCAATCAGCGTTATCCCAGCAATAACAACAACAATTACCGGCTGCGTAGTCGCCGCGTTAGCATTAATTCCAATTCAGCTGATGATGTGGGCGGTGGCGGATTCTACAATGAGGTAAAAAAACAGTCTATTTGTGTATACATATAGATAAAACGGATAAACACCTGTACTCTTTTTGCAGTCAGAGCAACTTTGCCAGCTGCGGAGTCAGTGCAACGAGCTCACCACCAAGGTGTCTACCATCACGCAGGGAATGCAGCAGCTGCAGGAGGAGAAGACCCGCGTAGACAAGACCAACGAAATCCTGCTGGAGAGTGTGCGAGTGGCTCAAACGCAGAAGGATATGTACTGCGAAGAGCAGGAAAAAATCCAGAACCTTCAACAGGTCGAAATTGACAAGCTTAAAAACCTACTGAGCTTCCGTGAGCAGGAATCTGTGGATCGCATGGGTCACATGCGACAGCAGAGCCAGCAAATCGAATTACTGAGCGAGGAACTAGAGCGCCTGCGACCAATGGAATCGGTAGCCGAGGATTTGCGGGACGAACTGGAGCAACTGCGGCATTCTATGCAGCAGGAAAAGAACCTGCTGACCACCACATTAGCAGCGGTGCAAGAAGAGAACAGACACCTCAAAAAACGCATGAAGATCGTAGAGGAGTCCCGCCTCGAATCGCTGGGCAAGCTGAATTCCGAGCAACAGGTGCAGGCTCTTATCCGCGAGCATAAGCTTTTGGAGCAGCACCTAGAAGAGGCCCATCTGCAGCTATCGGATATCAAGGGATCCTGGAGTGGTCAGAATTTGGCGCTGGAAACTCAAGTCAGTCGATTATCCAAGCAAGTGGCTGAGGAGACTACCGAAAAGCGAAAGGCCCTTAAATCCCGTGACGATGCCATTGAAAGCCGCAAACAGGTTTCATTCGAGTTGGAAAAGGCAAGAGATGAAGTTAGGCAGCGCGACGATAAGGTAGGTTAACTATTAATCCCACGCTACCAATATTAATCCACTTTTTTCCTAGGTCAAGCTGCTCGAGGAGGAAATTGACGAGCTAAGTGTGGCCCTGAAAGAGTGCCGAGAGGAGAACGAGCAGCAAATCCTCTTTGAGCGCAACAAATCTGTGAGTATGCCTCCCGATACTGACGATTTCCATTGGGACTTGTAAGACTTATTAACCCAACAATGCCGTACTAACCATATCACTTAAGTTCCTGGTTTACTTAATACCACTTTTTGAGGAAAATGGAATTTTCAGACCATACCTATTATGTAGTTTTCTATTGTAAATGTTTTTCTTTTCGTATTAAACTGATTTTAATCGTTGGCAAACTGATTGGTAAATTTTTTCCTTAAAAAATGCACGCCTATATGTTTACTTCAAATATCTTATTTCGCTTCATGGAATTTTGTAAACCAATAAACCAAATGTTCTCAGCAAAATTTTAGAAACAGAGGTAAAAGATCTCAAGAATCGTCTCACGGCGGCTGATGACAGGTTCACCGAGTACGCCTCGAACGCCGAGCAGGTAGCCCAAAAGCTACGGACCCAATTGACTGAAAAACACGAGCAGCTGGACGAAACCATTATGCAGCTGGAAATTGAACGAGAAGAGAAAATGACTGCAATACTTCGCAACGCGGAAATCGCCCAGAGCGAAGACATTTTACGGCAACAGTTGCGCTTAGAGCGCACCGAAGCCACCGATCTCCAGGACAGAAATAATCAATTGGAAATAGATATATCCGAGGCCCGACAAACGCTGCAACAGGTCAGCAGCACAGCCGAGGACAATGCCCAGAAGTTAAGCGAATTCGAGGGTATTCAGTTAGAAATAATCGAGAAAAATAAGGTGAGATATAAACTGAAAAGTTACTGCCTTACTGTAATTAACTATTTTATGTTATAGACAATAAAAACATTAAACCAACGTTTGGTTGACTTAAAGAAAACAGTGCAAAAGGAATTGCGTAGTGCGCAGATCTCCACAGAGAGTGAATCTCATTCCGATAACGATCCCTGGCCACAGAATCTCAAGTTCATCTCTGGAGTCATTTCCATCTGGCGACAAGGGCAACTGTATCATAATGGATGAAGTTAATTTTCAATATTTGAAACATGTCATTGTGAAGTTCTTGACCAGCCGTGAGGTATGCAATTCTATCCATTTCCTGCTTTATTATCCCTATATCACGTTTATTTCCTTTAGGTGGAAGCACGACATCTTGTCCGTGCCGTATCCACATTACTTCAACTGACATCCGAGGAGGAAAAGCTTCTGCATGACACTTTAAATTGGAAGATGAGTTGGTTCGGCATGAAGCCAACTTAAGATACCCACTGCAATAAATCACATTTGTATTCTAGTCTGTAGTCAATTCATAACGTTCTGTGTAATTTGTACATATACAGCAATTGCATATGCAACACTCTGTTATTTTGTTTACCGACAACATTCCATTTTGTTAAATAGTATTTATTTCTACCGTTGTGATTTTTATAATAAACTAACATTTATGTAAAAGGGTGTATTTTTTTATATTATTAAGTTTCTTTTAAACTAAAATCAAATTTTTAATTCCATGCGTAGATAGTATATGTATAATACACCAAATTTACCTTACTTTTAATAGCTTCCATTCTGTCCTCCCTTACGGTGGCGCCACCTATGAATGGATATTAGATCCATGTTCAGCAAAACCACAGAAATAAAAGTCGAATTTTTAATTTTGTTAAAAATACTGCATTTTACATTTAAAAATATTGTTCGTTACATATTACGTTCTCTAAAATTAACTATAAATATGAATTTACTTAAATTTCCTTTTTATTGCAAAAACCTACGTAATATGAATATCTAACTATTCATTTGTATTATCTATATCTATATAAAAATGATATAGGAGAATTTAAGAATAAACAAAAAACACACGTATTACTGAGGCACTTTTTGGTGTTTATAACAATTAAGAAGACAGTTGAATTAGTGGCATATTTATCAATATTGCTTTCCACAATAGACATATCTATTTACACATTAAAACTAAACATTAAACTAAGTCTAGATGTTAAATGCATTTAAATCAAAATTGCTTAGTAAGGTCAATTGTAAATTTTGTGTCAGGTTTCAGGAAAATTTGGCACACGGAATTTCAAAAGACTTAGACTTATCGACGATTACATCATTTAGAGCTAAGATAATTGCTAATAATTGCATTTCGCTTACAAAATTTTGCAGTCTATTGTTGCATTTGGTTGCAATCTCGGGCTGGCAAAATGAAACTTAACGAGATCGATCGAAGTCCTCCAGGCATGGACGCTCTCTCTTAGCTATGATTAAAATTAGTTAAAGCCTTAAATGACCAATTAAACACACATACATATTTACAAATCAGTTGTAGAAATTAGAATTGTGAAAATAATAAAATTGGTAAAACGAAAAGCTTGGCTTGTCCTCTCCATTTTACATGTAAATCTCAAAATGTTACGTAAACCCCCGACTGGGCGACTGTACGGGCGATGGCGGGGGCGGGAGCGGCGAGAAGTACGTTGAGCTTCGCGATGACGGCGATGGTGGGCAGGATGACTCTGGCACAATGCGCACATCACTGTGGTAATGTGATCGCGGCGTCGGCGGCGGCGGGTACGGCTCACTATCGTAGCCGTATTGCAGGCAGGCGGCCGCCGAACTGGAAGAATGCTTCGTGGCTCCCCCATTACTGTTATTGCTGTTCGATTTACTCGTATAATTGGAATCGGACTCATCACAAATATCCGTAGAGCAGGGCGTTGGCGGTGGTGGCTGGTTAATAATCTTGTAATGCCTGTACGGACGACGTGATCTGGTCGCCGGCGATGGAGGCGGATTAATCGGATATGCCACCATACTGCTACCATTCGTCGTTGAACTCGAGGCGCCTGTGATGTGGTTCCGATCATAGGAGTTCATGCTGTTGCGCGAGTTCAGAGTGGACATGCGTACAGCATCGGCGACGGAAGCAATCTTTGATACTCTTTGGAGATTTACTCAGCGTCGAAGGTGACAATGGATCAGTGGCCTGATCGTCCTTGGGTTCCGTTCTGCTTTTTCCGATCCTCGTGCGACAGAACTGCAGCAGATAGACAATCGAAAAGATGGTGATCATGGTGGCTCCAATCAGAATCATAAAGGCACGCTTATCGGTAGCGGGTGCCATGCGACGCTGCAGGCAAATATCGGAGGATTCATCGGCTCCATCGGCACAGTTTTCCCAACCATCGCAGAGCAAGGCGGCAGAGATGCAGAGCTAAATGAATTTATAACTACATTAATCAATTTCATAAAGTTTTAAACAAAAACACTCACCTTATTAATAGGACATTGAAACTCGCCTGACCGCTTACAACAATCCGCCTCATCGTGACCATTGGCACAGTTAGTGGTGCCATCGCACACCAGGGACTTGTCAATACACTCGCCCGACTGGCAGCTAAACTGATCCGCTCGACAGGTGGGGCATCCCACCTCGTCCGACTTGTCCGGGCAGTCCTTTTGCCCATCACAGCGCCAGGAGGCGGGTATGCAATCCTTGTTCACATCACTGATTCCCGATACGGGAGCGGCACACGTGAAATGATCCGGTCCACAAGCCGGAAAAGCTCCACAATTCTCCTTGTCCTCTAGCAGCATCAGATGCTTGGGACAAGAACAAACGTCGCGAGTGCGAGCCATTCCCTCACCGCTGGCGATGCAGATGTGAGAACATTTGGTGCGGCTGTGCAGGCAGGTGTGGTTGCGCAGCACCTTCGGATCTGGCGTCCAAACGGCACGGATATCGGTGATCTGCGGCAGCCGCTGAAGCTCAGCTGATCTTCTTTCGCCAGTAACAGTGATGCGTTCAACTCCCGTTTTATCATCCAGCCAATAGACAAATCCTCCCAGTGCGGCGATATTGATCACCTGCGATATATGCATGGAAACTAGGGTTTTTCTGTGGGCAAAGAAGAGGAAAGTATAAGTTTATGCTTTTTTATCTATAATTATTTAAACTCACTTGTTCTTCCCATTGATATCAATGGCATCAATCCTTTTGCCATGGGCATAGTAGATCATATCGGATTGCTGATCTAAGGCCAAGGCAGTGACGCCCTCCAGTTTATAGGCCAACTCTATGCGTTCATTGCCGTCGACTCGCGCTCGGATGATAGCTTGATGACTGCCCACATCTGTCCAGAAGAGCAGACGCTTCATGGCATGCACGGCAATGTTGCGAGGTTTCTCCGAATCCCCAGTATCAATGACCCCAACAGATTCGCCGAGGAAGCTGAAGAAAGAAAATATTATTAAATAAAATTGAATTAAAAAGTTAATTTATATATTTACCTAGTAACATTAATGCTGTTGGATTGGGAGCAAGTCCAAAAGAGCAGGCGGCCAATAATGTCAATGGCCAGGTCAAAAGGCTGCCCCGAATTGGCCAGCAAACTGACCTTAGTCCCATTTGCCAAAGACCGTTTAATGCTATGACTTCTGCCCTCAATCTGGAATTTTATGGAGAAGATTAATCAAAATAATATATTGATCAAGGTTATTCTGAAGCTAACCCAATAAATGTGTTGAGTGATCGGATCATAGTCCACAGCTCGAATATTCTTTCCAGATACGGGCAGTGGAATATTTGGACAATCTGTGGTGTTTGGCAGCAACCTGCCAAAGCTGTTCCTCTGACTAAAGATGATGTAGTTCTTGGGAGGAATACAGGATACGCCATCCTTGGCCAACTGATAGTGGGTGGGGCAGGCACAGGTCATGCCCCGTCTTCCGGGTTGAGCCAGACAGAGATGTGAGCAACCTCCATTGTTTACTTTGCACGGATTAACACCAGTCTGCCGCTTATCGTTGAACACCAGCAGCGAAGTAATGTATGTCATGCCTGAGTGGACCAGGCTGCGATTTTGACCCGTGGTCTTATGCACTCGCTCAATGTCGCCGGTGTTCCAGTCGCTCCAGTACACATAATCCTGGTACAGGGACACCGCATAGGGTTCGTCCATGTCACTGGCTACTAGGATTTGCCGTTTCTTACCATCCCAATCGGCACTTTCGATTTTGGCTGGGCGAGATTGGGTGGCCCAGTACAGACGACGAGTCTCCTGGTCAAAGGTAAGCTCAGCTGCGTGATTGGCACCCGCTACAATAGTCTGCAAGTCAGAACCGTCCATTGCAGCTCTGCGAATCGAGTCCGTTGGCGATTCTGTCCAGTACATATAACCACGTCGTGGTTCCAGAACCAGGGATCGCGGCTCCTCCACTCCCTTCCACAGGAGTACCCTTCGACTGCTGCCGTCCAAGCGAGCCACCTCAATGCGACGTGCTCCAGCATCCGACCAGTAGATATTATTGGCAAACCAATCGACGGCAATGCCATCGGGTCCAATCAGACCAGAGTCCACAATCCGCTGAACGTAGGAACCATTTAAGAAAGCCCGGAAGATGCATTTGCTCTTCTGATCCGTCCAGTAAATCCTTCGTTCGGCCACAGAAACATCCAAGGCATGAGCATCCCGCACATCCTTAAAGGGTATCCTCTCATCGTTGTGGTTACCCTCATTGTACTCTATAGAAATCCGACCAATGTGCTCCTGGCGGGAGAACAGAAGGAAAGCAGCTGGCACAACGCAGGTGCGCTTATCGTTGGCCAACTCGTAGTCAATGGCACACCGGCAGACGTAGTCTCTGGGTCGGTTCAGGCAGAGGTGAGAGCAGCCTCCGTTCTTAACAGCACAAGCATTTTGTCCTCGCACTTCCCGCAATCGAGTCACCTTTAGACCCATCAAATCTGGATACTGATCAACCACCACAATCCGATTATTACCCGTGATCTTGTGGGCACGATCGATAGAGCGTCGCTGCCAATCCGTCCAGTATAAGTAATCGTCCAAAATGCTCAGGCCAAACAGATGTTTCAGATTGTCACTGATCACCACTCGCCGTCCGGACCCATCCATATTTGCCACCTCGATTTTATCCGTCTTGCCATCGCACCAATAGATCGCCTTGGCCTCGATGTCCAAGGCAATGCCATTGGGCCAGCCGAGATTCTCCGAGACCAAAACCACACGCTCAGAACCATCCAACGATGCACGCTCTACCTTGGGCTTTCGCTCGTTCCAATCACTCCAGAACATCCAGCCCAGCGAAGGGGCCACTGCGATGGCTCTTGGCTCTTCCAAATGCTCATAGATCAGCACTTTCCTGGCCGTTCCATCCAAACGACACACCTCTATCCGGTCCGTGACCGTATCCGTCCAGTAGAGATTTCGAGCTAGCCAATCCAACGCCAGGCCATCGGGATGTTGCACCTCAGAGGTCACGAAATCAGTCACCCCTGTGCCATCGGCATGAGCTCTTTTAATAGTGAATGTCTCGACATCTGACCAATAGATATGCTCTTCCACCGGGTCGTAATCTATGGCTATTGCATATTTAACCTTGCCCAAAGGCAGCGGGAATATTGTGTAATCCGGAGAATCCAGGGATATCTTACTAATCTGCGTTCTTTGCACAATGAACATCATTTCCTGAGAGCCATTGGCACAGGTATTTGGTGAGATTAACTTGACTCCCGTGGGACAGGCACAACTGAATCCCTGAGAGTTCGTTGCTAGCAAACAGAGATGCGAGCAATTTCCATTGTTATGGGCACAAGGATTATCCTCATATGGCTGCAGCGAGGGATCCCAAGCTCTAACAGAATTCGGTGCTTTGGGTGTGTCTATTAGCTCCTTCAGCTCACGGGTTTGCAGGTCAAGGGCATTCAGCGATCCCCTCTGCCAATCTGTCCAATACAATCGATCATCATAGAAGGTCAAACTAAAGGGATACTTTAGGTTGTTAACTATGGTCCGGCGACTGCTTCCATCCAGTCTCATCACATCGATGAAATGATGTTTGCCATCTGTCCAGTAGATCAGTTCGTTCTTTAGATCCACTACCAAGCCATTGGGCCAGAACACATGCTCCTTGACCAAAGTCATGCGGGAAAGAGGATCTCCATCCATGCTAGCTCTCTCGATCTTGGGATACTCGCCCCAATCTGTCCAAATGAGCAACTTGCGAGCTGGAACCACAGCCACAGCTCGTGGCTGATCCAGATCCGTCCAGAAGAGCACTTTCTGGTATCGACCATCCAACGTGGCCACCTCAATCCGGTTCTTTTCGCCATCTGTCCAGTAGATCTTGTCCGTATACCAATCGATGGCCAGGCCCTCGGGCTTGTCCAGACCCGTAGATATCACAGTTTGCTTGGGCGCCCGCAATAGCGGCTGCAGAGCAGAGGAGTTGGTGTGGGCACACTCGATGATCTCCCTGCCGGAATCCGTCCAGCAGACCAGGTTCTTGGCGTAGTAGAAATCAATGGCCATGGCCTCCGCCAGATCTTTTACGATCACATCAATTTGAGGTCCTCCTGTGGGCCTCGTGATGTTCGCTACCTGGATGTCATGGCGGGTAGTGAAAAGCAGGGTGGCCGGCGTATTGACAAACGCACTAGCTGGCGGGCTGGCTATCAGAGATGAGGAGCTGGGCATGTGAACTGTAAGTAAGGGGGAGGATATAAAGACATTAGTTCGAAGTTAAGAATGATTTTTTTTAAGCTTTAGTATACAACTCTTACAACATAAACAGTTTAAAAAGTAACCTAATATATATTCTTTCACTAAACATAAGATACTTTTGTTCTCTAAACAATCCCATTTTAAAAAAATTTATAATTTAAAGTAGCTTTAAGTATTTAGTGGAATGCTAGGCCAACTTCTAATTAATAAGTGCAATATTCAAGAAGACGCGGGAGGTGGCAGCTAGGTTGGGTGCAAGTGCACCATGCCATCAAGAATTAAATAAGCAACAAGGTTCGCCGGCTCGAGTGGTTAACAATATGGCAGAGCCGGAATTGTTGTCGTAGTAAATGGTAAATGCAATCCAACTACGCCCAGGCCAGGTCTTTGTTTACCATTTATGTGTTCATGTTCTCGGAGCATATGTGGGTGGATGGATGGGTGTACAACTCCAAGTTGCAAGCTGCTGTTTCGCTGCTGAGCTGATCTAATTGCGTATGAATAAGCGCATGGAGGCGCACCAGGTGGAACAAATTTTCAGCCGGTTGTCTACTACAGCACTGCCACTTAAAAATACCCTGATAGTTAGTTCAAGTATCAGCTCTCTATATGGTGCGTAACTTTATTGGGTTCTTTTATAAAATTAATCAACATTCATTTAATAGCAGGGGCTGCATTTTTTGTCAGCACTTAAGTTTGAAACTTGTTCTTAAACAAATTTATGTTGTGTATATAATAATAGTTTATCGTTACTAGATATTTTGATGGATTTTCTCTGAAATATTGCAAGTAAGTCTACTTAAAGCTACTTTTCCAGTTAAATTGAATGCCTGAAAGTCTTAAAACCCACTCTTAGCATATTAAACTTAAGAACTTCAGGCTCTTAGTACTTAGTAAAGCTATTATATCCCATCTACAATATATACCCTCCACCATCTTCAGATATTTTTGGAATTCAAGCATTCCTACTAGACTATTTTGAAGAGAGATCCACTTTCAGTTGCAAAATGTTGACCCACAAGGCAACAGGAGCTGCGCTGCGTGAATTGCAAGCCTTATCCCCAGATCCCCCCTGTCAGCGCGCCAGGCATTTGCAATATTTATGCAACCAGGCGGAGGAGCAGCAGGCTCTCGAGTAATCCATCAAGCACCGTGGGCTTTCCCAGGTGAAGAGTGAGGGAGGAGCGAGTAGGTAAACGAGGACCAAAAACAAAAATGGTGACATTTTGCAAAGTGGGTTGGTTGCTTGCTTGGTTGCCTGCTCATACGCCATCAACCGTGCACACGCCCACTTTTCCGGAGACTCCCCATAAATTTTTTTTGTTACCATCACCTGGTAGTTGGCCCCATGTGCAGCAACAGGATTTATGTGCAAAGTGTGCAAATTCAAGAATATTTGCATACATCCCGACCCTATATGGATATTGCGCCGTTAAATGTTTGCCTAGCTGTTCTGGTATGGTTCGGTAATAGTGCTAATGCGGGAATCCTATATCGTTATCATTCGAAACTAATGTACACCGTAATCCCTACTCGATGCTGACAATGACGTTGCTGTTTGCGGAAGGGGGGACTACGACTACGACGACCAGCACTTAACTGCAATCCGTGTATATTATTCACATTTTTTATGCTCCTTCGCAGATGGCAGTGAAGCGTTAAGAAATCAACATCATTACCAACAAAAATTTAAAACCAAAAAACAAAAACAACATCAACATTAACATCAACAGCAACAAAAACAACATCAGCAGACATGCTCATCAAGTCGAGTACCGCAGCCAAGATGAGAAGTCGTCCCACCATCTCGTTTTCCTCTACACAAAAAGAAAATATAAAAATCAAACTAGAAAGGTTTCTTCTTCTACCCACAAGAAATAATCTTAATCCCCGTTTTGTTAGCATTATGTAATGCTTAAGCCAGCTTAGAAACTGCTTGCTTGATTCTGTAAGATTTCTCAGCTTACACGATTTACATACATTCCTTTGGTTTAAGATGTTTGTCAATTTAGATTTCTTTAGATTGGAATCTTCTTAAAATTTATTGTGTAAGAGTTCATGATTTTGATTTTAGAATTCGTATTTCGTCAACACTTCTTCGCCCAGTGTAGTAGGCGCTCACACACTCGACCGAAATTGAAATGCAGACGAAGCCAGAGATGGAACCGTGGCGTAACCCGTTGATTCCTCCTGCCTGCACTTCATTCAAACTTGGGAAAATATTTTAATTATTAATGTATACAACTGGGGTGGGTTCGGGTCGGGACAAGAGGCTTCTCCATTGGGAGCAGTAGCCGGAGTAGGAGTGGCAAAAGGGGCGAGATGAAGTTGGAAAAACCAGGATGCTATAGAAATGGGCAACGGATGCGCATGTGAATGATGCGGCTTGACGATTGGCACTGACTCTGGTTGGGTGGCTTCCTCCCTTCCATGTGGCTTGTGGCAAAATGGCATAATTTGGATGACCGAGTCGACAATTTTGAACGCCACGGCACATGGCGACCCCCAATGGTCCAGGTGGAGTCTCTGGAGCTGGCGCTGGCTCCTCCACCATTGGCAGTAGGGTAGCAGCAACTGCACTTAAATGCTAAATGAGTGCAAGTGCTGTTATTGTTAGCCAACTGAAGCGGGAGGCGGGAGGTGGGGATCTCGGGGAACTCTATGGATCCGGTGGATAGTGTGTATATATCGTGAGGGTAGCGTAGTAAACTTTAAGTGAGCACTAGCTGGGGCAGGATGCTGCCACTCCATCCGCATCCCGGCCCTGGCAACACTCGAGTCCTGCCGTAGAAATGTGGGTGGCACAGCTCGTCGTCGCACTAGTTGCAACGGAAGTTGCAGCTATTTAAATGTGTTGAAGAGCCTGGCCCGGCTAAATAGGCAGCCGGTAGAATAGCAGAACAGTTCACCAGTTGGCTGCCAGGAAGGCTGGCTGGCTTACCATCTAGTCAACCATCCGTACGATATGCTACTCCTACAGCCTGTACTCCTGGCCTCCCATCGTCGCCGTTGTAGTTTTTGTTGCTCGCGTTTTGCATGAGCTCATTATTGTCGTACTTGTTGTTGTTGTTGTTGTTGGTTAAGGACAGACTGCACTGAGTGAAATAAGGGGCTGCCATGGGGGAATTGCTAATGAGGAAGCTAACCATTAAATAGTTTTCTAATCAATATTTTAAAATATAGTTCCTACCGACTTACTTAAAGTAAAGATTAAAATGTAAACTTTTTAAAACAGTGAAAAAATAAGCTCAAATGTCCTGCCAATGTGCACCAAATACCTAATCGAAATATCAAATATAATCTTTAAAGGTTTTCAGGTTTCTTAATAGTTCAGATGTAACATAAACAATCAACCTGATCGTTTTTTTCTAATAACCATACCTATATTCTCTATTATAATAGTGTAATCACACTAAAGTAATGTAGTTTGAAAAAAAATAGGAGCTTTCTCCTTAAATCCCAGCCATTAATATCGCTCCCTTTTTCGTGCAGTGCGCTGTTGGGTTTTACTGCCACGCTCCATAATTAATTTCGCTCATGAATAATTTTTAATTAAATGTGCAAAAGCAGAAGGCTGAAGAAGGAAAAAAAGGCTGCACTAAAATAGCATTGAAAGGAGCAATGTGCCCTGCTTTTGTCATGACCCCTTTTTTCCAGAGCTGAGCTGGGAGCACTTCGAATCCTGCATGGCATTCATAATCAAATTGAACATAAATAAATAAGTATATAGTATACAAGAGGGGGAGTTGGGAGTTGGCAGAGACAGAAATCATAAAGTAGAGATGAAGTTGCCAGCCAAGTGGCTAGCCACAAGAGCTGTAGCATTAGCATCATCCTAGTCCGGAGAATCATGAGGAGAAAAGAAAATCAGCTACTTGAGGTAACAAAGTTTTCAAGTGCCCCGAGAACTGGAGAACTGTACGTGCATAAACGAGGCTGTTATCAACTGTCGTCCATTAGGCGTCCGCCACATCTCAACCCAACATGCATCATGTGCCGGAGTGCCGGCTGAATGCTCAATAAATTATATATGTAACATGCTTTTTATCAATTACTCGCACCTTCAAGCCGCCAGACGACCAACGACAGACGACAAGCTCCAGCAATGTCCATGGCAAATTGCGGGACAAAACGTAAAGTTGGCAACGGAGGTGAAGGCAAAGAGTTAAAGCCAGGCCAAGAATATCAGACCAGACCATGCCAGGCCCGACCAGACCAGACGACTATGCCAAGCCAACGAGCAGGAACTGCGAAAACTTGGTTGGCAGCAAATGCAATTCCACCAAGTAAATGGAGACGGCAGCTATCCGAGTCCAAAGGCGTTAACAAGTGTGGCAGCGAAAAGGGAGCTTGGCCAGCTCTGGGCTCCAGAAACTTTTCCATTAGGTTCGCCCTGCCTCGGTTTTTGTGAACACAGTCAAGCCTCTACAAATGGAAACGAACTCACTTGCTATATAAGAAATATATTTTGAAGTTTATCAATTGGATTAAATCAAATTTGTAATTGATAAGTTTCCTAATTTTTGAATATTTTGAAAATATTTAAGATTATTAAGGTAACAAAATGTACAAACATTTTTCCAAGCGACTTTTTCAAAGACAATCTCTGATTTAGTTCCATGGAAGTTTGTTATTTCATTTTATAATTATAAGACTCTAGCCCATCATTTGCATCACTGTCTGATGGCGTTTTCTACATCCTCAATCTCAGAGCCAGCTGCATAATATTCACAACTTATTCATTGTTTCGTCAATCAGGCGTTGACATGCCAGTTCCGCCCTAATGGCCAACACAAGGAGAGCAACAGGAGAGCGATGTGAATTGGAAAAGGAGAGAAGGAAAAGGTATTAAAAAAAACCCGAAGGTGAAGGAGGAGCACCTGCCACGAAAGCCAGCCAAAAGTTATTCAAGCAAAACTCCTCGAACAGACAACACTCAGGCAGGCAGAGGGAAAAGGCCAACCGAACAAAGCCAACG